CACAGAGAACGGCAGCTAACGGCGATTCTTCAGGAAAGGGCGAGGCTAGCGAGAGTTTCTTTAGGAAAGGGCAGCCTGCTAGCAGCGGCGATTCTTTAGGAAACGGCAGGCTAGCAGAGATTCTTTAGGGAAATGGCAGGCTGTAGAGATTCTTTCAGAAGAGCAGCCAGGCTAGCTTAGAGATTCTTTAGGAAATGGCAGGCTAGCAGAGATTCTTTAGGAAATGGCAGGCTAGCAGAGATTCTTTAGGAAATGGCAGGCTAGCAGAGATTCTTTAGGAAAGGGCCGGCCTAGCAGAGATTCCTTTAGGAAATGGCAGGCTAGCAGAGATTCTTTAAGGAAATGGCAGGCGACGCAGAGATTCTTTAGGAAAGGGCAGGCTAGCAGAGATTCTTTAGGAAATGGCAGGCTAGCAGAGATTCTTTAAAAGGGCAATGGCAGGCAGAGATTCTTTAGGAAGGGCAGGCTAGCAGAGATTCTTTAGGAAATGGCAGGCTAGCAGAGATTCTTTAGGAAATGGCAGGCTAGTGAGATTCTTTAGGGAAAGGGCAGTGCAGCAAGATTCTTTAGGAAAGGGCAGGCTAGCAAAGATTCTTTAGGAATAGGGCAGGCTAGCAGAGATTTCTTTAGGAATGGCAGCCAGCAGAGATTCTTTAGGAAATGGCAGGCTAGCAGAGATTCTTTAAGAAATGGCAGGCTAGCAAGGAGATTCTTTAGAAAAAGCGTATGCCTTAGCGAGATTCTTAGGAAATAGCGAGGCTAGCAGAGATTCTTTAGGGAAAGAGGGCCGGCTAGCGGCGATTCTTTTAGGAAAGGGCCAGGCTAGCAGCGATTCTTTGGGAAAGGGTATGCTTGAGCGATTCTTTAGGAAAGGAGCCGGCTAGCAGCGATTCTTTGAGGAAACGGCCGGCTAGTCGCGATTCTTTAGGAACGGCCAGCTAGCGGCGATTCTTTGAAATAGCAGGCTAGCAGGATTCTTTAGGAAACAGCCAGCTAGCAGTGATTCTTTAGGAAAACTTGAGTATCATAATTTATTTACGAGATCTTGTGATTCAGCCTTCCACGTTCCTTTAGAAAATGCAAAGCTCAAAAACATGCCAGCGGTCGCTAAAAGGAACATCGAAGGGTGCCACAATGGCAATTCCAGGAACATCAATGTGGTAGCCTCCAGTTAAATGGGCAATTTATGAGAGGCGCCAAGAATTGCATCCCCTCTTTTCCACTCTCCTTTCGGCAACTTTTACCGCAAGGCCAAGCATTTGGGAGCTCGTTTTCCGTGTTCGGCCTTCGACAGACCATCGTCTTTTTTGAGCTTTCATTTTCCTCTCAGTCGTGCTTATTTGGCCTGAGCCAAAACTGCCATTGGTCGAAATACCCAGAAGCTGTCAGGCGCCAGAAGTCAGAAGTGGACGAATGGCGATGGGCGCCGTTTCGAAATAGCTTCTCATAATGGCAGACAAGGCAGAGAAGAGATATAATTGTGGATGGGAAGAGAGAGAGAGAGAGAGAGTGAGAGAGTGAGAGAGTGAGAGAAGGAGAGGCAGACGCAATTTTCTCCAAAGCCGTCGATGAGCCGCATGGGCCAACGTCCTACAGGATGTCGTCTTTATCTGAAATGCTAAGGTCCTAAAAATCTCTGCTTAGCCGGCCCTTTTCCTAAAGAATCTCTGCTAGCCCGACCCTTCCTAAAGAATCTCTGCTAACCTCCCTCTTCCTAAAAGATCTCTGCCAGCCTGCCCCAAAATTCGATTTGTTTTCCGGGGTCCCAATTTCTGGATGGGTTGATGGGTTTCCCATTCCCCTCTACCCTCCCCCTAGAATGGCTTCCGAAGCCACTCATGCATCGTCGATTCTTGTGCCCTCAGGCTATAGACCTCCCCCTCGAAGCCCCCAGCAAGGCTTTAAGCCCCAGATCTACCCATCCCCTTACTACCCTCATTTACTTAGGCTACGACTGGGGCCTAATGCCGCGTAGGGTGAGGTGAGTTTTCTCTAATTCTCGCATTTCCAATCCAAGTTGGGAATCCATAACTTCTTTTCCTAAATAATCTCTGCTAGCCTGCCTTGCCTAGAGCTACTATCCCAAAAGATCCTTGCTAGTACGCCTAGATATGGCATTTTCTCAAAGAATCCCTTCTAGTTTGCCCGAAGTGACCGGAAGTTGTGCCTTTCCAAAGAGATCTCTGCTAGCTTGCCTTGGGCCCAACAACGGCCCCAATAATCTCCATTAGATTACGCTTTCACGAATTTCCTAAATCACATCACAGACTGTCGTCCAGCCCCTGACGCGCGACGCTTTTTCCACCGACTGTATCCCTAAAGAATCAGTGCGCGCCAGCCCACATTTCCTAAGAATCCTTTGCTAGCATGCCCTTTCTTAAAGAATCTCTTCTAGCCTGCCCTCGCAACATTTCCGATTGACTCCTAAAGACCCGCCTCTGCCCTCACCCTCCCTAAACGTGTTTGGAGGGGTCCCTTCCCATCCCCTAGGCAGAGAAGTACTTGATCTTCTCTGGGACCCAACAACACTGCAGTAGTGAGGCCAATTCAAAGGCACTAGGTCCCCCAGCATCGATTATTTTCAAACCTCAGTAGGATTTCCTAACCCAAAGCCCCAAAGCATCCCCCGCTAGCCTGCCCCTTCCTAAAGAATCTCTGCTAGCCTGCCCTTTCCTAAAGAAACTTTGCCAGCCTGCCCCTTGTCCCAAATGATCACTGCTAGCCTCCGCCCACCCCCTATTTACGTGCGGGTTGTTGATCGGCTTATTGTCATCGCTCATGCCCAAATCCCTGAATACCCCTAGAGTCCTCACCCTAATTACTCGTGGCATCCGTATAACCCCCCACACGCATCGGAATCGAGGGCCATAGCCCTGGGCTGTCATCAACCTTTCGTATTAGTATTTGCCCTTTCCTAAAGAATCGTTGCTAGATAGCCCTGAAAGAAGCTCAGAATCGCAAATACTGTTTCCTACTTGACATCTGAATACGCTCTTATCAAGTGCCAGGGGCCTCGGGGGAGGGGCAAAAACCTCTTAATCGCCGCCTTTGAAACCAGTCAACTGGAAAGTTGGAATCTGGTGTCTTCATTTCTTGAGTTCACTTCTGTAAATACCTCCGTGGGACCCCAAATGGAGGTAAGTAGCTAGCAGGGATTCTTTGCGGAATGTCGCCTACTTTGACTTTCGAATACCTTTAAAGCTGCCAACCACATGCCAAAACCATCCCGTACCCGTTGATAATTGTGTATGGCCCGGGTTGGGTTGAGCTGTCGGGACCGCTGTGTCAACTCGCGCCTATTATTCCATACAAACGGACAGAGACCGACCGACAGACAGGCATAGAGAGATTCCGAATAGGACACACGGCATAGAGGAAGAGGGAGACTGAAAAAGGGGACCGCTAGACTGACTGACTCATTGATCGCTACACTGGGTATCGTTATTTTTGGATTTACTGAGGGCAGGCTAGCAGAGGTTCTTTAGGAAAGGGCAGGCTAGCAGAGATTCTTTAGGAAAGGGCAGGCTACCAGATATTCTCTAGGAAAGGGCAGGCTAGCAGGTATGCTTTAGGAAAGGACCGGCTAGCAGATATCCCTTTAGGAAAGGGCAGGCTAGCAGATATTCTTTAGGAAAGGGCAGGCTAGCAGATATCCTTTAGGAAAGGGCAGGCTAGCAGATATCCTTTAGGAAAGGGCAGGCTAGCAGATATTCTTTAGGAAAGGGCAGGCTAGCAGATATTCTTTAGGAAAGGGCAGGCTAGCCGAGGTCATTTGGGAAAATATTGCCCCCGTTTTGAATCCATAATGGCCTCGATGTTGTTTGTTTGCCAAACACTCGAAACGGACCTAGATATTCAGTCGTTTCATCGCCCAATTCGAGTACACTCCACACCCCCGAACAGCCCCCGAAAATGATCCAATTTTGGTTGGAATTTTAACGAATTCCCTCATTTTCTAAACGATCTCTGCTAGCCTGCCTTTGCTAAGAATCTGCTCCTCGAAAATACGCTCATTTTTGAATACCCTCTGATTACTCGGGACTGGGGTGGCCAGGGTCGGCTGTAATATGGGCTCGCTGCCCATCGGCCGGACACAATTTGCGTCGAAACGAGCTTTTCGTCTCTCTCTCTCTCTCTCTCTCTCTCTCTCTCTCTCTCTCTCTCGTGGCAAGATGCCCCCCAGGTTATTGGCCACCCGGTCGGGTTTCCCCCTAAATTTTGGAGGTCGTGCCCGGTTATTGTTGTTATTTGAGCCCAAAAATCGCTGCTAGGCCTGCCTTTTCCTAAAGAATCTCTGCTGGCCTGCCATTTCTTAAAAAAAATCTGCTAGTCTTTTTAAAGATCCCAAGACATTAAAACCGACTCCTCATTTTCCCAAATGACCTCTGCTCGCTTCCCGGTTGCTTATTTTGGCCTTAGACACTATTTTGAATCTGATAAGCCCCAAAACAAACCTGTCAACACGGAAAAAGAAAGTGCTCGAAATTGGTTTTCGTTAGGGGCCACTAACTGATAGGAGGGGTCAGAGTATCATGGTGATTACGAATTGACTCGGAATTTTTAAGAGACCTTTCCTCTTTTTTGGACTTACTAGGGGAGTGGGAAGAAGGGGCAGGCTAACAGAGACCATTTTTGGAATCTGGTATGACGTGACTCATGAAATCGTCTATTTTCACCCGTTTTTTCGGGCGTGCAGCCGGCCCACGAGGGTGGACGAGGGTAGGGGCTGTAAATGGGCACTTTTTTAGTCTCTCTCTCTCTCTCTCACTCTCTCTCTCTCTCTCTCTCCCTCTCTCTCTCTCGGACACCCCCGAAACGGACCCTAGCTAATTTGCATGCCCATTCGCGGGCCCGTTGTTTATTTTTGAGGTCGACGACGGCAGGGACTACGCGGCAATCCTTTGTCCGAAAACAGGGGGTTAGAGCTCCAAATTGTTTTCCTGAAGAATTTCTGCTAGTCTGCCCTATTTGGTGCTCCATTATCATATTCATCTTTCAGCATGGCCTCTCCAGAAGAGGTCGAGGCCCAGAAGCAGAAGTTGCTAGTAAACCAGGAAAATCCGTAAGTCTTCGCAAAGCCATAATCTGTTTTTAAGCCCCTATTTTAGGGCTTAGGGCCAAACATTCTGGTAAAATCGGCTGTCACGCCCCGTTAAAACCTTCAAACTTGCAGAAACACCCTGGAATTCTATAACGCGCGCTCTCGCGTCTATCACGATGATGAGGAGGAGAAGGTGTGCTTCTACTTCGACTACACCAAGGAAGGCGCCAGCCCCCGAGATTATCAATTGGCAACGGCTAAAAGAACTCGTAAGTAAGAACCATTACTCTTAAAAAACCTTCCAGACGTACGGTACTTGCTTCTAAAGGAGCTAGGAAGCCAAAAAATGTCTTTTCAGAAAGACCAAAAGAAGTGGGGCGTCATCCGGCATCCGATGGTGTTGAATTATGTGAATGAGAGGTTGATGGGTAGGTTTTTCGAGAAGATTTCGGTTTCCTAATGAATCTCTGCTAGCCTGCCCTTTCCGAAAGAATATCTGCTAGTCTACCTTCCGCCTAAAATGCCAAGTTTTTCAGATATGTCCGGTTGGTACACATTCCACATCATCGCCTACTTCTCCTTCCTTCTCCTTCTCTCCTGGCACGTCTTCTCGAGATCGTTCTACAAAGACCTCCTCATCACTGCCTACCTGGCGTTTTTCGTGTTTATGGTGGTAAGGAGGGATATCAAATCAAAAAAAGTTAGTTCAAGCCGTAAAATCGTAATTCATCGATTTTGTAAGCTCCAAGACCTGCTTTTGAATTCCGTTTCGTCCGCCACATTATCCCAGCTACGCGACGATCCCAAATAACAGGAAATCCAGACCTTGAATTCCGATCGGGGCTCGCTATTTGTCATGGACTAAAGGGGACCGGAAATTAGGATCTGGCGACCAGGGCGGGTCCGATTGGCCACGAGCACGAGTCTGGAAAGGGCTTTGTCTTTCTAGGGTCCTTTAAAACCGATTAAAAAAATTGAGGGATGAAAAATAAAGTACCTACCGGAGGTCGAGGTACCTATGGCTTCAACGGCTCGTTAAAACGCTGTACCACGTTTTTTCAGTTCGTCAAGACCGCCATGAAGGTCCAGATCTCCACGGGAGTTTCCAAGTGGTCAGCGGTTGCCCTGTTCTTCAACTTTCTCACCTACCTCGTCACGTTTGCGTACGTTTGGCTGCCCACGCTCTTCAGATACGATGATTATCACCCGGAAGTTAAGGTAAGTAGCAGAGAATCTTTAGGAAAGGGCAGGCTAGCAGAGATTCTTTAGGAAAGGGCAGGCTAGCAGAGATTCTTTAGGAAAGGGCAGGCCTTGAAGTTCTTTAGGGAAAGGGCAGGCTAGCAGAGATTCTTTTAGGAAAGGGCAGGCTAGCAGAGATTCTTTAGGAAAGGCAGGCTAGCAGAGATTCTTTAGGAAAGGGCAGGCTAGCAGAGATTCTTTAGGAAAGGGCAGGCTAGCAGAGATTCTTTAGGAAAGGGCAGGCTAGCAGAGATTCTTTAGGAAAGGGCAGGCTAGCAGAGATTCTTTAGGAAAGGGCAGGCTAGCAGAGATTCTTTAGGAAGGACAGGCTAAAGAGATTCTTTAGGAAAGGGCAGGCTACAGAGATTCTTCAGGAAGGGCAGGCTGCAGAGATTCTTTAGGAAGGGCAGGCTAGCAGAGATTCTTTAGGAAAGGGCAGGCTAGCAGAGATTCTTTAGGAAAGGGCAGGCTAGCAGAGATTCTTTAGGAAAGGGCAGGCTGTGAGATTCTTTAAGGAAAGGGCAGGCTAGCAGAGATTCTTTAGGAAAGGGCAGGCCTTAGCAGGGATTCTTTAGGAAGGGCAGGCCAGCAGAGATTCTTTAGGAGAGGGCAGGCTAGCAGATATTCTTTGAAAAACGACCTCCAATTCCAGCACGTCGTCCTCTGGTTTCTCCCGATCGTGGCCATCATCTCGGCCTGGGTCAACTTCCTCTACATTCTGCGCCAAAGCCCCTACGGTATCTACATCTTCATGATGGTCAGGATCCTGCGATCGTTTGGACACGTGAGTTGAGCATCAGCTTTCTCAAGCTCGGCATACTTTTAGATCGCAACAATCTGGATCCCGACGCTCATCGCGTTTTCCTTCGCCTTCCATCTAATCATGAGGGATTCTGGAATCGAGCCTTGGATCAGTGTGGAGCGGGTGAGTAGCGGAGATTCTTTAGGAGGATCCAAGCCTAAGCTTTAGAATAAGCTTGAGTTTAAGGCCCAACAACATCTTACGGTAGATGAACTTTTTTCAGGACACTAACTCGACGATGGTGCAAAAGCTGTTTGTCGTCCTTCAGGCGATTACTAAGACGTCGACGATGATTATTGGAGAGGTAAGATATCGCTTGGTTTCTCTCTGTCTCTTTCTCTCTCTCTCTCTCCTGTCTCTCTCTAGCTCGCTCTGTCCAGCTCCCACATCCAATATTTTTCAGGTTGATGCCAACGACATCCTCGGCACTCGCCAGTGGATCCCCTCGATCCTCGTCCTCGCCTTTGAGATCATCACCGTCATCCTGCTGATGAACTTAATGGTGTCGCTGGCAGTTGGGGACGTCAGTGACCTCAGGAACTCCGACCAGGATAAGCTGCTCAAGATTAAGGTAGGAGAGCGAGAGGAGAGAGAGGAAGAGAGAGAGCGAGAGAGAGAGAGAGAGAGAGTGAGTGAGAGAGAGTAAGAACGCTAAATGAAAGACATTTTCCAGGTCAGCTCCGTCATCGAGGCCCTACAATTCAGCCAGGTCCTTCCGCAAACCCTTCCGGACAGCTGTAAGTTGGAGTGTAGCGTTGTCTTCTCTCTCCCTCTCTCTCTCTCTCTCACTCTGTCTCTCTCTCTCCCTCTCTCTCTCTCGAACCATAACTTCCAGGGCTCCTCCACAAGCGTAAAACGAACAACGTTGGGTGATCGTGGGCAGGATGGGCACTATTTTACGCTGATGAGGTCAAGGAATGATTTCCGGAACGCTAGGGTGGACAGACGTCCAGCTTCAGAACTGAATGACCATGTGAGTTGACCAAGAAGTTCAGAAGCCTCAAGAGCGGCTAGGGCAGGCTAGCAGAGACCACCTAGGAAGCGTTTTCCCGTCAAAACCATCAAATTTTAGAAATACCGCCTGGAGTTCACGAATCCGCGGATGCGGGTGCGAATTCGCAGGGAACTGCTGGCCGGTCGTCACCAGATGGTTCACTTGGAGGATTGCCAGGTTCGAGATCTCTTTCCCCCCTCTCTCTCGCTTTCTCTTGCCCTCTCTCTCGCTCTCTCTCTCTCTCTCTCTCTCTTTCTCTCTCTCTTTCTCTCTCTCCTTGCGCGCTCTCTCTAGCTTTCTCTTCCCCTCACTCTTCCGCTCTCTCTCTCTCTCTCTCTCTCTCTCTCTCTCTCTCTCTCTCCTTTCTCTTGCCCTCTCTCTAGCTTTCTCTTGCCCTCTCTCGCTCTCTCTCTCTCTCTCTCTCTCTCTCTCTCTCTCGCTTTCTCTTGCCCTCTCTCTCTCTCGCTTTCTCTTGCCCTCTCTCTATCGTTGCTTTTCCAGATCGTTTTCAAAGAAGCCACGGATTCCGGCATCCCGAACTGGCAGCCAGAAGCCGACGAGGCCAAGCCAAGTCACGATAGCCGTGATGGATGGCAGAGGCGGTATATTTGCCTTTAATGCCCCTTTAACAAGAATTTATGTTTTTAGGTACGCAAAATGGTTGATCGGACTGGACTGGACCGGATATTTGGATCTCTAGAATACGGAAAACTACCTCTACCCTCGTCACACTGCCCATTAAGAATTCTCAGCGCAATAAACGCTCATTTAACCAAACTACTTTATCACTGTTCGCAAATAATTTGAAGTCTGCCTGGCACCCCCCAAAAATAGGGTAAATTTGAGCGCTGGATTCTCAAACGTTTTTCTGCCAGCTGAAGGGTGTGGGTAATCGGCCAGCTCATCTAGGGTGCGAATAAGTCGAAACGAAATGCTTTTTTGGTGACTGAGTTAGAGCTCAACCCGATAAGGGATTACTCCTGGGGCCATTACGTGGGAACCCTCTTTTATGATAGAAGGCGGCGCACAACCGATACCGCTTCCAGACGAAACTCCACGATGTAAACGAGTGCAGTGATGCATATTCAGTGCCTCTGAGCATGTACATATTGGCTTGGAAAGGATTTTACACCTAAAAACCACGTTAAAAGCCAGTGCAATAGATGCGTTGGGGTTCCAAAAAATTTGAAAATCTAGACCCAATTTGTCTAAGGGCTTCCGAAATTTTCACGAGACTGTCTGTCAGTATCTGTCACGTCCCCGTGACGCCCACGACAACCTAATAATACAATTCCCCTCAAATCACCACAATTAATATATTCGCTGCTACGTGCAGCTTCCCCTCGTCCCCTCCCTGGCCCTCGTCTGTATGCTGATTGACCGTGTTCCCCGTCTCTTCTCGATGGGCGTCTCCGAGATCCAGGGCCACAACATCGTGTTCAAGTACAAGCCCTCGTCCACCGACGTTCGCATGTCCACTTTGCATGCGGCTCCTCGGCAACCGGAAGAAGTCCCTGTATTCCCCCGTGCCCAACTACTTAAGCGGCCGCCTTCTCCCGCTCTTCAAGTCGACTTCAACATCTGCGCCTTCCCGGGTTCCAGCCAGCTGTTCGCCACCGCGAAGCTTCATCTGATTCCCGGCCGTCTTCTACACCTTATTCGTGTTCGCATTCATCGCCATCGCCTTTGCCCCATTTCCCCCTTGCCTTCGTTTGACCATTTATTGTGACAGACTACCCCACCGGGAGTCTGTAATAAATTGTGTCTCCCCGTCCCAGTCGTTTGCTCTCCCAGGCTATCGAGGCGCAAATTCTTGTCACGGTCGTGACAGTATCTGATAATGCTTCGATATAGGGCAGAACACATAAGTACTACGTGCAAGTTGGATGCGTCGGCACCTTACCCATCCAGGAGGTTTGCAGATAAGGGTAGCCCATTTTGTCCCCGGGCAGAATTGATTTTCCGCGATAACACGTGGCAACTGAGATCACGACCGCGACGCCCGTGCTATCAGTGAAAAAATTGAGCAAAACTTTGGGCCGACGAAAATATGGAATTAGCTAGACTCGTTTAGCCCCGTCAAATCTTCTTCTCTCTTCTGTTGTCTGTTCTTGTGGTCCGTTCTTGGTGTCCATAGTCTAGTTACATAGATCTTCTACAACGTTTACGCATGACCGAGCCCGACGAGCTGGAGATGGCGCCTCTGAACGCCCCAAACGCCGTGGAACACGAGTCTAGGTTAGTTTTCAAAAATCAGAAAGCCAGGAAACCTAGGAATGCTGATCCACAATCTCCAATGTTCGGAAATTTGCGCAGCTATCTTTCTATCATGACAAGCTTTTTCAGATCCTCACCTGGGGCATCGTTTCGTTGGACATCACGAGACGACATGTAGGTTATGTGGGCTTCGTAACAAGCCCACTGCGCAGCCATTGCCTTCGAAATTTAGCTGACTTAATACGATCTTGTTTTCCATTTTGGACTTAACTGTAATAATTTTGCTGCGTGGCAGTCCGTCTGTCCGTCCGCTTTTGTCAGCTAATCGAAGGAATTTCTAGACACTCGTTACGTTATGTTACTGCACTATCTTAGCTGTGGGAATTTTCTGATATTCTCAACAAGCTAAATTTCAATGGTTAGACCTTTGGTCGGTTGGTTGCCGACACCAGTGCTCTCTTCAGTTAGGACCAAAATTTTCGATGAAGGGTGCTTTTCTCGCGGAAAAATTGTTTTTTTGGCTATGTGTTTTTCATCTGCCGCATTCCTCGCGTTCAGCAAAAGCATCGAATACTACAACCGTCATACCCGTGTCTCTCACAATACTGCTAACGGAAAAACCACCTTCCTCTTCGACTATGGTGAAGAAGGAGCGGCAGGAAGGGTCAACCTGGAGGAGCTACTGAAGCTGGTAATTTTGGCTAGATATCTTACCTACAGCTTTGACCATATTTGGAATTATCTCTTTTTCCACTGAGCTGCCTTGCCGTCTTTTGGAGCCGGCTAGTTCGTTCGGGGCATTCCATGCATAAAAACGTCGGGTTGCATCCGTAACCAGACTAAATTTGTCGTCCCTTGCTTTAGACCAGTCATTTAGTATGATCAAGCCAAATTGGAAGTGATCCGGCATCCCATGGTGTTGAACTATATCAATGAAATCTTGTTAGGTTGGTTTCTAGGCATTTAATATCTAAATTAAAAGCGGGCTAGGCCGAAAGTCCGTCAATCGCTAAAATTTTTTTAGACATTTGCTTATCATTTAGGAGCAGCCACTTGGTACATGTTTCAATTGCTTACCCAATATGGCTATTTATTTTTGCTAATGGCCTATTGCTTGACACGTGCAGGTTTATTTACGGAGCTTCTGATACTCTACAGTTTTGTCTACACCCTCACAACGGTAATTTAACGCTTCAACACAATAAGTAGGAAAAGGTTTCGTGCGCTTCCGCCCTCATTTGAACAGCTCTTGCGACAAATCCTACTATACAGGGTGTCCCAAAAAAAATCGAACCGCCGCTAGGGGGCCGCAGTCAGGTCCGATTGTAACGATTTTGATATCTATCGAACGCTCTCGGAAAAGCGAGAAAACGAGCACTTTTCGTTTTTCAATATAGGCATTTTAATTCACTAAATTTAGGAATCACGAAAACCGCAGATTTTATGCAAAGTCAGCATGTTAGTAGCTGGCAAACAGGAAGACGCTGATTTTACGTTTTTTTAAAGCAATCGTGCCTGCTAAAAATTTTGGAAAACGGAAAGCGCTTATTTTCTCGCCTCTCCGAGAGCTTTCGAATTGTGAATGAAAATGCAATTTTAAGAACGCAGGCGGTCGGCGAGACTTCGTAGCGCTTTAAGCGAGGACGGTGCTCTTTTGCGTTGTCTCACATCTCCTGCCACCTAGAGAATACCTGCCACATCCCCTGAATATTTGAACTCGATCCCAAATAAAGCGATCGAATGGGGAAGGAGTTTTTGAGACACCTTGTATGATAAATTCTTCGTCCGGTAAATAATTGAAAAATGAACGGAGTGCATCGATCAGTCTAAACTCATTTTGCTAAAAGTCTGAAGTTTTGAGACGGAGATGAGGGTAGAGGTTGCCTATACGAAATGTCCTCTGATACCAAAAATTCCCCCCTTCTGGTCCATAGCCTCGCCTAGTCGTTTGGCATCCTGACAAGGAAGATGACTTCGAATCTTATCTTCGATTTGCTGCCCACCGCAAGCACATTGGCGTGCCTTGCTTACCGCCATAGACCAGTCTATGATGAATACCAGCCGGTAAGTCGATCGGTTTGGTATATGTCGGCTACGCGGGGGGGGGGGGGAATTTACGCGGGGGGGGGACGGACTGTAGGAGACTGTAGGGGCCGAGCTACCTATTTTTTTGCGTTTCTCTTTGCTACAAACAAAACTCTTCGTATATTTTTCGACGCTCTATCGAATGGCACTCAAGAAATTTTGTAAAAATGTCGAAAATGTCGAAAACTTGATTTCCTTCTATGTCCTCCATGGAAACAACGTTTAATACTTTTTTTGTTCTAGCTATTTTATATTACATTATTTTGAACTAAAATTAAAACTCTTAGTATATTTTTGGATGTTCTATCGAATCGCATCTTTAAAATGTCGAAACAATAACGCGAATGTCCAAAAACAGCCGCTCAACCCGATTTTCAAGGCTTATTTTTGTATTTGCCATAACTTTTTTATATGACACTAATTTGAGCTAAAACGAAAACTATTAGTATATTTTATGATGCTCTATCGAATTCCGTTGCAAAATCCCGAGAAAATAACGAAAACATCCAAAAGGCCTGGCTATCCCTCCCCCGCCCGCGTAAAATTGTCCCCCCCGCATAACCGACATATACCATCTATTTTAAAGTATGATAGATACAGGGTGTCCCAGAAAGAAATCAAGAGAAAGCTCGAGATAATTCAAGAGAGAGAATACGAGATAATTTTCGTTTTCCAAAATGTTTTTTTTAGCCGGCGCTCGATATTTAACGATCTCTTATAACATCGTGCAATCATCATAGTCCTGTGAGCCTGAGTGTAGCAATTAATTTGCGGACTTGCATAAATCTGCAGCTTTCATGGATTTTGGTCCTAAAATGCCTGACTTAATATGCCTAAATTAAAAATATGTCTAATACACCAGTAGCCAACTTTCAGTGTCATATCTCGAGACAGAAGTGTTTCAGAAAGTTTTTTCAACTGAAGCTGAATCAGCTCGACCTGTTGAGCATTTTGGCATATAAAAATCCAAAATCGGTTTAATGACCGGACGCCGCAAGTTTCCCCGATTTTTTTCGGGGAACCCGGCACTATGGGGAACGGCAGCCACAGTGAAGCCTCAGATGATAACTAAGATTTCAGAAAGAGCTCGCGTTAATGCCTATAATTGCAACTCTGCCGATATGGATTCAAATATTTATCACACTAAAAGTGAGCCCAGTCGGCACCTACATTTTCATGCTGCGCAGAATTATCTTCTCGTTTGCGAAAGTGAGTTAGCTCATACCCACAGTTGCTTCTACCGTGTGTAAAACGTCGCGTTCCGGTCAGGGTCTGGAGTTTTTAAATAGCAACTGACCAAATCTTGGCTAACAGGGATTTTTACGCGATAAAGGCTTTTTGTCCTGTTGTGGAGGCGGGTCGCGATCCAAAGGGATGCTTTGCCATCGGACCGTTTGATCCCTTGAGTGCCTGAACAAAGTTGAGAGAACATGAGAGTTTATTGACAGATAAGATAAGTAATTCTAAAAGAGTTACAGACCACGCGGGTGGTGGGAGGAACTCGGTTTGGAAAGGGCGGACCGTTGCGCGGCTCTCGAGATTCCGCGGGCCTGGGCGCGGCTCTCGGCCACAGGGCGGCCCGCCTGCGGCCAATTGCGCGGGTCTGCCCTTTCAGCCGCGCAATCGGCCGCGGACGGAGCAAGCGCGGGCCGCGCATTTCATCCAGAGTTTATGAAAGTACAAGAACTAAAACTTAGGAAATTAAGTTCATTTTTATCTGACTTCGTAAGCCGATTAGTTACATTGATGTCTGATGATACTTGAACCAGGTTTGATCGGCGTAACAACTTCTATGTGATGCGAGGTTAGTTTCCAAATACCACTACAGGTCTACAATCTTCTGAATGTTCAAATATATTGCTATTTTAGACGCTGCCGGGCAAACTCAAGGTATTTTTAGCTGTCTCGTAATATTTTTTAGCTACTCTCTATTCTTAGATTAGTAAAATGCGGCACCTGATACAGCGGTGGTGGAAGCTCAATTGGCTAAGTTTTTTTTCGTTTGAGGGTGAGTTCTGTCAAGTTCTTATTCGACGAATCAGCAATAAGAAAATTTGCTTTTCAGGGTGTCTATATTTCAAACCCGACGCCAAAACGTAGGTCTAAACTTTAGTCTAGAAATCGACGAACATATACTGAGTTGACATCTCATACTTGGACAAAAGTTAGTTTATAATTAAAAAATATAATTTAAACCAGACTAAAACCCAAGCTGATTAAGGAAGATGCCTGTAAGCGATCTTCACCGGGCAATCTACTCGCAGGCTCAATACCCATATTTTTTCTATGTTCTATTGTGATTTTCTAATTCACTGGCGTGATATAAATACAATAGACTCATCACCACTTCCTTGCATCCGTCCCGAGCAATAGAACCTGCTCAAAAGCAGGTTTAATACGTAATTTAAACGTTTTAAAGAGGAAAAGCCTAGCTACGGCCGGTTTGCCGCGAGAGCCGCCCTCAGGCCCGCGCAATCCGGAGAGCCGCGCAACGGTCCGCCCTTTCCAGATTGCGCGGGCCTGGGGGCGGACATGTCTCCAGGTCCGCCCTTCCAAACCGAGAAGAGAGCCCGCCGGCAAAGGGGTAGGGGCGCACACAGGGAAAGGATACAAAATAGTGTCGCGGAAAGGGGTGGCGGCATGGGTTCATTTGTTTCTGGCGGTTCCTCCAACATGTTCTGTCCGTCTTCGGCAGAACCTGAAATTCTGTCGCGCAGCCGAAGGGTCTCAAAGTTTTTGGTGTTTTCCCTATTTTTGTCGGGATTTTCTGCACGCCATTTGATAATTTGATTTTCTGCACGCCATTTGATAATATACTAAGAGTATTAATTTAAACCTACAATAATGTAAAATAAAAAGTTATAGTCAAACATTCTGGCTTTGGGGAGCGGGGGGTGGTAGCCGAATTGCTTAACTGGATAAGGCACCTGGCGGTCAGCAGAAAACCGGTGACTCCGTCCATCAGGGCTCATCGACACATGATAGATAGCCAAGCGGTCAGAGAGTGGATAGATAGCGCCCCAAACTGAGAGATTCATCGGATTTGGGTATATTTATGCAAATTTAAGCAAATTCCATGGGCCATCCTGATCCCTTTAAAACCGTCCCCGGAGCCTCTAGATGAGGTACATACTTACTAAAGTTGCATGCACATTCATACAGACACAAACGCTATTTTTTATATACTGGGTGTCCCAAACCAAGCACCCCTATAGCGGTGCGGAGAAAGCTCCGACCGGGATAATATTTATAACACTCGAAAGGTCTCGAAAAAGCGAAAAAAATAGGTAAATTTTCATTGGGAATTGGCAATTAGCAGGCAGATCTCGCGTAAATCTGCATTTTCGTCGTTTTTGGGCAACAATTGTGCTAATAAAATTATATGATAAAGAAAATAAACACTCCTTGTTTTCTCGCCTTTCCGACAGCTTTCGATAGATATTAAACGGTGCGCGCCGCTAAAGGGTGGTGCTTTTTTTGGGACACCCTGCATGGTTTGGTAGTAAGGCTCGATATGGTCGTCACTTTCGGTTTCGACGACCTTTTATAGGATGTGCCTCGCGAAATTCTAGTACTCCAGTTTAATCAGTTTTCCAGCGGCAAAGCCGCTCTAAGGGGCTGGTATATTAGATTACTGTGGAATTTCGCGAGTGCCATTTGATAGAGCGTCGAAAAACATACCATTCCACACTCTAATAAACCTCCATTCTATCTTCTAGATAATGGTCATCTGGATACTGCTGATCATGATGTTCGCACTTGCCTTCTTCATAGTTATGAGGGAGCTGAACGTGGAGCCGTGGGCTAATATGGGCAAAGTGAGGGTTATGCTTGGAAACAGACTTTGATACCTACAGAAACCACTTTGCTCGTAACATTATAGCTAACCCATCATTCGACATTCGGTGACCATATCTTCCTTCTCGCACAAATCTTTATAAAGGCGTCGTCCATGATGATTGGCGAGGTGATTAAGAATTTTACCGGTTAGCGATGAAAAGCCCGTTGTTCGATCGCGCGCCCCAGTTATCTCACGGAAAGACACCTAACTGAAAAACCCTGCACCAGCGACCAGGACTCAGCACAAAAGCTAAATCCTACCTTATATAATTTTGGCGTGTATCTTTGTGTGTGTGTGTGGATGTCAGTTTCGAGGCCCGATTTCAGGGCCTTCCCGTGTCCAAAACGTCCCAATTCTCCGTCACTTGGGGGAATCGACCCTCCTCTTTCCGATGGCGTGTTCAGAATTTCGATAAATTACAAGTTTAGAAAGTTAAAGCCGGTTTTACTCATTTTTGGGGTCCTGAGGGCTAATTTGCATAATGTGAAAAAATACAAATTTCCTCATTCTTGCAAGTTGAACGCGCGCGTGTGGTCGGACGGGGGAAGGGGTCCGAAGGACCCGAGCCATCGGGAAGGCAAATTTATCATGCAAAGGCCACATTCCAGCGCCCAAGGCCCGCGAAGCGGGTTTTGGGCGCTGGTTGTGTAAATAATTAGATTGTAATCGAAGTTAAATTGCTCTATCATGAGGCGAATTTCAATGCAATAACTGGCTTTTTTGAGCAAGATTAGTAAGGAACTTAACCAGAATATGTTATCAGCTGGGCATCAATTTTTTTTATCCTGGCAAAAAGAACCCCCAATCAGAAAAAATCCACATTTTAGTGTGGATGCGGAGTCCTTTGACAAAATTGCCTTCTTTTAGCTCGATACAAATCACGTCTTGAACACCCGAAAATGGGAAGCATCGATTCTTTTGCTGGCTTTCCAAATTATTAACGCCATCCTTTTTATGAACCTTCTGGTAAGCGTGTCCGTTGGGGACGTCGACGATTTGAAAAAAGATGCAAGGGATAAGCTGCTCAAAGCCAAGGTAAAGAAAATAGCATCCTGGTTTTCGTTTTCAAGGAAATAATTGTTTAATTCAGGTGGCATATGCGATGGAGGTGGCGCACTCACGCTCCGGATTTTACCAGTATTTAAGCAAGAAAAGTATGTTTATTTCTTGTGCAGCCGGGAAACCCGTATTTTTAACGCGCTTTCACGTCCTTTCGCGCCTCCTAGCAATCACGCCCTCCTTCATTTAACCCCCTGCAAAAAGTGCTTTGTCCTCTAAATAGCGCCCTGCTCTCTTAAAGGGATACCCAAGGTTTTGGTGGCAAATATATAGTTATGTATTCCGGGAGTACAAATGACGCGGGAATTTTGTGTGGCAATGAGGCGCCACAGCCGCACAGAATTCGGACACCTTTCCCTCTTGTGGCGTCCCCATCCCACCCACCCACCATCATCCCACCTAATGGATAGCATCCTGGCCTACAAAACCAGGGTCCCGGGTTCGACCCCCCCGGTTTTTGCTTTTTGAGCCCCGAAAAGGTTGGGCATCCCTTTAAAGTAGAGATGTTGCGCATACGAATACGATGTGCTACTTCCGGCAGATTAGCCCGATGGTATAGGCTGATAATGCCGATTCACAGAATGCCGATTTACAGAATGCCGATTTACAGAATGCCGATTTTACAAAATGCCGATTTACAGAATGCCGATTTTACAAAATGCCGATTTACAGAATGCCGATTTACAGAATGCCGATTTACAAAATGCCGATTTACAGAATGCCGATTTACAGAATGCCGATTTACAGAATGCCGATTTTACATATTTTGGGTTTTACATCAAAAATACAAACCGGATCCCCATAAAAAACATTACCCGACTTGGCCGTAGCGAAACCGCCAGACCTGAGGCTTAGCTTTTTTCTTTTCTTGTTTCTCTCTTTCCACGTAGGGATCTGGGGATTACCGGGAACTCGCAAGCCTCGCGACAAGTTTCAACCGTTTTCTCTAGTCGCCGACACTTCTAACGAGCTGATCCATAGCGACAAAGCTCGACGATTGATTATTATTTCTTGGTTAAGAATGCCCGGCCTCCCGTCGAGGGCAAAACTGTTCGATAGAAAAAGTTAGCTTAGTAACCCAAGGGAGGCCCCTTCGCAACGTGGAACCAGGGTATCTATGAAAAAAAGAAAGCTAAGCTTCAGGTCTGGCGGTTTCGCCAAGCCCAAGTCGGATAATGTTTTTTATGGGGATCCGGATTGCAGTTTTGATGTAAAACCCAAAATATGTAAAATCGGCATTCTGTAAATCGGCATTCTGTAAATCGGCATTTTGTAAATCGGCATTCTGTAAATCGGCATTTTGTAAAATCGGCATTCTGTAAATCGGCATTTTGTAAAATCGGCATTCTGTAAATCGGCATTCTGTAAATCGGCATTCTGTGAATCGGCATTATGTAGGTAAATCTAGCCCGATATGCCTATCTGATTTGAGAATGGGTACCGATAATTCGAATACGACGATCGGATTCGAACAAGCCTCGGCTAATTCCGACGCAATGATCTGGCAAGTCGGCTTCAAGTCGGTATAAAAAGCTAATTTAAAATTGAAGACGAAATTATATGTAAATGTCAAAATATTGACAGAGCCACCGGAAATTACCGAGAAATTGGCACCTAAATCTATTCAAATTATGCATATTCTGACTACTTGTTTCCATTTTCCCATCGTTTTCTTCGTAAGATCGCTTTGCATCCCAATTAGCTTCTTATCCCGATGTGAACCGTTTACACGAATACGAACGTCGCATTCGCTTGGTTCCGCCCCTAATTCGAATACGATGATCGGGTCGGAATTAAGAAATTTTTGATTCCGACGGCTTATTCGAATACGACGCGTAACTCCCATGTCGTATTCGTATGCGTAACATCTCTACTTTAAAGGGCGTTGGACGGCCGTGTCGATCCCCACCTGGGAGGCGCAGAGGCCTTTTCTTTTCCGCGCGTAACCGATTCTCTTATGTCTCTCGACATCCCTTTCAGATTGGGATTCAGATCTGGGTTAAAATCCGCGACTCATGCAGGTTTTGTGTTTTGCTATGCTACAACCAAATAACATATTTCTAGCGTCTCAGTGAAATTTTCGAGCTCTGGTGCAGCAAAAACCAAGCCGAGAATCAGTAGCTACCGCCGCAGGCCATAGAAAAGAATTTGTTTACGACTCGCGACATAGGATCAAATATTCGAGCGTGGCCCTGGCTCTGGCGCCACAGTTTAAAGGATGGATCCTTTACTCACGCTCTTGCGCCGCAGGCTTGCGGCGAAAGGGATAAGGAGGGCCCAGGTGGATCAGGGCTCATCTAGAATTGGCAAATAGCCAACTGGGTCAGAGAGGACGAGAGAGGGCGCCCAGGAGAGAGAGCGCAGAGACCACCTTTCCCCCGCGTCGCCGGTTTTTGACTTTACTACGTGGGCCCTCCCGATCCCTTTAACGAAAGGCCCGTAAACCCCTCCTTGCAGCTATTTTGGGTCGACCGATCGCTTTAAATTGATGTTTCATACTGATTCTCTCTCGCTATTCAGATCGCTTTAAATCATGGTTCAAAATCGTGACGAACAACGTCCTGGTGGTCAAACGTAACGGAACATATTGGACTGGAATGGAAACGGAGGATTCGTCTGCATTCGCGAAAAATTTTCGCATGACTTCGTCGAATCAGGTGGGATACACGGTTCTCATGTTGAAAACACCCTGTTATAACCAAGTCTAAGGGCAAAAACACTGTGACGAATACATAACAACAGCCTAATAAAGCGCGTGTTTGACCTATGAGACCGTCAATTTTGGTGATTTTGTAGACAACCCGATCGGGAATCATAGTGGTAAGAACTTTTCCGCTAGTCCACGGAATTTCTGAAACCGGAGCCCTAGACGCGGTCCATCTGGACAATTTGTGGGCTGCGGGATTACTCCACCCGTGATAACTTTGGCTGATTGAACAATTGCATATGAAAGAGTTTACCTTGACAAACATAGTTTCACTTGAGAAGTCAGTATAGATAAATTCTCGGTCGTTTCCAAAAAGCATGGAATATCAATTTTTCACCAAATCGGGTGACGAGTAGCCTTAAAATTACCAAAATTCGCTGGCTTTAAATTTCCCAAAAATTTGAGGGATTCCCTCCTAGGATAAGCGTGTTGTAAGCTATTACATGACAAAAATCTGCTTTTATCCGAGTCTCCGTGCGTTCTGGGATGAAAGCTGTGTCTGGAACCTACGTGCCGCGCGCCTTAAAACCGTAACTTCTATAGCTCCGTTTTAAAGATAGCGCTGAGTGATTGATAGTGCTAACGAATTCCGATTCCCCATCGGTTCGTCTACAAAGTCGTCGATTTTGACGGTCGCACGCTCTTCCATGCCTTTCCATGCCCGAAAACATTAAGTCCAGGAACTTTTGCCGCACCCTGCCTGTCTCAAAGGTTCAGTCACAACGGATGGCCAAGTTACGGTCCATTAAAATAGCCAAGTCCTTACAACTTTTTCGGAAGCATTTCAACTTCTCCCTGCATTTGACCAGAATTCTCCAGGGGCTCTGAAAATGACGTGCCGATTTTTGGTGGACGTTGACCAAATGTCTAGTACATAGTTCATGCTAGAAACCCATGGCTCGGGTTTTTTATATAACGTCTTGGCGCCGTATCTCGGAATCCGTTCAGTTATGTATCCTAGCTGGGAGCTCCCGCGAATGAGCGCCCAAAAATCTTATCAACCAACGAAATTGGAATTGCCGCCAATTTTTACAGTGACTAAAAATTAGTCATAGAATTTATTATCCAGCTGGTTAGCACGGATACCACGGCGTTCGCGAACAAAATTTATTGGAGTATCCAACTACCGTTTCCCTTTTCACGTTATATAGGCAACCCCGCGTGCTAATCGTCGGTCCGAAGCGCCCCCTCCCATTTCCGTTATCCCAGCCTTGCAAACGCCAGAAGAGATCGTCGACCCAAGCCATAACGTGAGTCGGAGTTTTTGATGGACGCGCCCACCGTTTTTCCTCGTTCTTAACATCCAGTGAAAGTAATTATAAAAAAAAAGATTTTTAATCCAAGCTGTGATATCCAAGGTCAACGACCTTTAAAATCCGACCCAATGAAATCGGATACCTAAGATTTTCCATAGTTCTCGGACCATGATGGCATCGAGCTTATACTGCAAATTATGCGCAAGCTGTGGATGAGGTTTGTGTTTACAAGATTGAAAAATGCCAACTATTATGCATCTTCAGATGCGCGCAATCGCTGATCGGGGTGAATGAAGTCGAGTTTAAAGATTTACTAACCGCTGAATATGTGCGACCTGCTCCAATGTGTCCACTTTGTCATAAATAAAATCGTCGGCTAAATCGGGAAATAATTTCATGCTTTGATTATCAATAAATATCAGTCCACTTCAATTTAGGCGCCAGATCCGCGGCTTATCAACTAGTTCGGTTCATAAAACAGAAATAAAGCGCGGAAAGCTGAAACAGAGGATTTGAGAAAGGTCATAGTTCGTATTCACCGCAAACCGGTAAATAGTTTTGCCTGTGTTTTCGATGAAGGCAAAAGATTGCTTCTCAGTGCTCTGTTTGTGCTCTGTTCGAACTGTTTATAACTTGAACTTGATCTTTTGGCCTTATATGCTAGCAATAGTATACACCCCATCGACGCAGAAAAAAGAGCGTCGCACATGGGCCAATCCGGAAAGAAGCACTTTAAAGTGACGGACAAGAACCATTTTAGAGGATATTTGGCTAGATCGTCGCCAGTGGTTCCCCTCGATCTTGGTCCTAGCCTTCGAGATCATCACCGGCATCCTGTTGATGAACTTGATGGTGTCGCTGGCAGTTGGAGACGCCAGCGACCTCAGGAGTTCCGCTCAAGATAAGCTGCTAAAGATTAAAGTAAGCAAATGAGAGAACGAGAGAGAGAGAGAGAGAGAGAGAGAGAGAGAGAGAGAGAAAGAGAGTGAAATATAGAGAGAGATAGAGTGAGAGAGTGAGAGAGAGAGAGACAGAGAGAGCTACGTAGGTAAAGATGAATTTTCCAGGTCAGCTCCGTCATCGAGGCCCTACAGTTCAGCCAGGCCCTTCCTCAGACCCTTCCGGACAGCTGTAAGTTGGAGTGTAGCGTTGTTTCTATCTCTCTCTCTCTCTCGCTCTTTCTCGCACACTCCTTACTTCCAGGGCTGCTCCACAACGAACAACGTGTTGATCGTGGAGCGGGATGGGCACTATTTTACGCTGATGAGGTCAAAGAATGATTTCCGCAACGCTACGGTGGACAGACGTCCGGCTTCAGAACTGAATGACCATGTGAGTTGACCAAGAAGTTCAGAAGCCTCAAGTGCGGCTAGGGCAGGCTAGCAGAGACGATTTAGGATGTGCTTTCCCGGAAAAGCTATCAAATTTTAGAAATACCGCCTGGACTTCACGAATCCGCGGATGCGGGTGCGAATTCGTAGGGAACTGCTGGCCGGACGTCACCAGATGGTTCACCTGGAGGATTGTCAGGTTCGTGATCTCTCTCTCTCTCTCTCTCTCTCTCTCTCCCTCTCTCTCTCTCTTTCGCTCTCTCTCTCGCTTTTTCTTGCCCTCTCTCTCTATCGGTTCCTTTTCCAGATCGTGTTCAAAGAAGCACCGGATTCCGGCATCCCGAACTGGCAGCCAGAAGCCGACGAGGCCAAGCCCCGTCATGATAGCCGCGATGGATGGCAGAGGAGGTATTTTGGCCCTTATTCCTTTAACGAAAGTTGCTGTTTTTAGGTACGCAAAATGGTTGATCGGACTGGACTGGACCGGATATTTGGATCTCTAGAGGTCGAAACACTACCTCCGCTCTCATCACACTGCCCATTAAGAATTCTCAGTGCAATAAACGCTCATGGATTCAGATTTTGATGAAGGAAAATAACAAAAATATCGACAAGCCAATCGCCATAATGCATGAATTAAAAAATGCCGACAGCTTAATCCCGAGGTCAAAAACATCGAAAACCAGAAAAAACGGAGATCAAAATCCCCTGCCAAAATCCCGATAATGGAAAATACCGACAGTCTTGATTTTTTCAGCTAGAATGCCGACAAGCTGCTCAGAATAATGCCGACATAGAAAAATGCCTATAGCCATGAACACCATTGAAATTTCTTTTGGCGCCTTTTTTCTCCTGATAGGCGTTATCGTTGTCGGCATTTTTGTTGTCGACATTTTAAGGATCGGCATCATGTTTGTCGGTGCCGACATTTTGGCTGTCGGTATTTTGGATTTCGGCATCCTGCTTGCCGGTATTCTGACCGTCGATATTTTATTTCGAGACCCTACCACACGAAATCCTGGATGGATTTTCTCCCAAATTTTTTCTGCTAGCCTGCCCATCGTCGGGGTTTTGAGCTCCTGGCGGTGAGCCGGAGCCAACGAACCCCCAAAAAGCGTAAAAACACCGGTAAATGTTCGGATCTCGATGAAGGTAGTGACTCACTATCTTACACCCCCGGGGGGAATCTCGTGATAAATCCACGGACCGATCGACAGTTGCCAAAACGGCAGTGCGGACAAAAAGGGAGGGAATTTGGGCTGGGACCTATTTTTTCGGTGCAAGATATTGGCCGCAGCGTTGTCAAAAAGTGGAATTTCACATCTCCAAACTCCTACTTCTAGCCTTTACTTACAAGGGAAGTGCACGACCGGTCCACGAGAAATCGACACGAGACATAGTGGATCTGATAGAATGGGACACGCGGATTCCGAATCTGTAATCAGAATTTGCTAAATCAAACGGAGAAAAAAGTTATGAAGCTTCAAAATTGGTAAAATCGCCCAAAATCAGACTTTTATGGGCCTGTAAAGGCCCAGGGAATGGAAATTTGCCACAACCCATTAGTGCATCTTGTTTAGCAGAAAAAGCGCTTTCGAATGAGCTATCTTACTTTAAGTTTACAATGATTTCGCGGAAATCTCTTCTATGAACTTGACAGGCCATACCCTTGCCTGTGAATCCAAAAAAACCTTTTTCAGTGAATTGTTTGCAAATGCTACGTATTACAGCTCATTCGAAAGCGCTTTTTCTGCTGAACAAGATGCATTAATTCTTTTCTCCTCAATTCCATTCCCCCGGTTTTTACGGGCCCTTAAAGGTACCGTTTTTGGCGATTTGGCCAACTTTGATGCTTCACAACTCTTTTCTCCGTTTTATTTAGCAAATTCTGATTACAGATTCGGATTCCCCGTGTCCGATTCTATCAGATCCACTATGTCTCGTGTCGATTTCTCGTGGGCCGGTCGTGCACTTCCCTTGTTAGCACATTTAGCTCGACCACCGTAATTTCTCCTACCCACTTTTCTTAGCTCACCGTTTCCCCCCTATTTTCTGGTCCACAAAATCAATGGTTCCGCTCGAAAAACTGGGTGAAAAACCGGCTTGACGACGCTCGGCCTGATAAGGGGCATGAATCTCGTGGTTTAAGCAGATACCGTAAGTCTTAGGGGGCGGGCCACCCCTGCAGCCCACCAATCCCTGTAAAATGCTGCAAGAAAATTTTTTCCATAAAGCTGGTCGGGCAGTTCATTCGTGGTTTTTTCAGCTTCCACTCTCCCTTAACTCATTTTAAAGCTGACTATCCTAACCTGGCTACAGTAGGCCAAGAGGCGCCTAATAAATTCGAGGAGGTCATTGGCAATCGGCCATTACTGTAGCCGCGTAAATAGGAATATCTCGCCCTCTGAGTGCCTATTTTTTTGTTCACCCGGAAAGAAAATCTATTAGACGGGGTTTCTATAAATTTTTACGGAATTCATGAATAACTTCATTGATTTTTTAAGCTTTTAGTCGGCTCCAAAATATTTGGCATGCCAAGCGTAGGCCGTCCGCCGCGTTGCGTATGGCTGTCGCGGCTATTCGACTCCCAAATCTTTCCTCGCTGCTCTGCATAATGCTTTAGGCGAACACGGGCGGCGGGCTTTACCAAAAAATGCAAAAGCTAATTACTGATCTGGTACGAATTTTCGAGTCCCTACTTACATGCAACTTTGAGAGCTTAATTGGAACAAACACACCGGGAAAATCGGCGTTCATCGCGCGATCCGAAAGTAGCCGGCATTCCATGCCCTTAACGGTAGCGTACGATTTTTCCCAATCACCCGTCAAAAGTAGCATTGAGACGGGATAGGCCGGGTTAAACAACGTGTAAAAAAATGAAATACGTCTCTTAGCAGCTATAACTAAAATACAGGGTGTCAGAGCAAAACACTCCTCTCTAACTTGATGCAAAAGTTTCAGCCCCGAAAGCAATTGAGGCAAATTAGCTCGCTTGCAGCCCCGAAAACCGCAAAATTCTACAAAATGACCTGTCAAATAGCGCGTTTAACCAAAAACCCTAGCTTTGAATGTTGTTGCAAACTCGGCGTTTCAAGCGCTTTCGAATGGTGTAACTACCGTTTTGTTCCGATTTACTTGCGTCGAGTTAGAGGGGGTGTATTTTTTGATCGGGACACCCTGTACTCTACTTACTCTAAAAGAATTATCATCATGTAATCTTGTGAAAAAATCGATTGAGCACCAATCGTTTTGAGTTAGCCGTCGTCCCGCTTACGCTAGCTAGAACCAATCCAATCAAAATCATCTCTCGAACATAATTCGACAAAATCAAAATAGAATAGATCTGTCGAAATTAGACGCCGGGTGTTGCTTTCATGAAAAGTGTGTGGGGGTCGAAGTGCCTGCTCGATTGCTAGGCGACCCCGGGGCGGCCGGCGGGTGCCCTAAAACCGTTTTTTAAGGCGATTGGGAGGGCTTGTCGCCCATCACCCCGACACGTTTTTATGATCCGGGGCGCGAAAAGCCCTGATAAACACATGTTGTCCAAAACTTGATGAGGAGCCGGGGAGCAGGAAAATTTTTAACTGAGAAACCGGAGAAGGTCGATAAAAACGCACGTCGATGGGGGCTTGGAAGTGCTACGGGTCGTCCCAAAGCTTCAAAAGCAGTTCCTAGCTTGTGCTCGAGCGTTTTGCCGTTTTCCGCAAATGATCACTGCTGCGTTGCCTAGCTTGATTTAGTGGAATGGATTTTTCTGTTGTATTGAGTTACTCTTGCCAACCGGTTACGATACGTTTTTCAGGATCATGGCCGATCCAGCACGGCGTCCGCTCATGCCGCCACAGCCGGACGTCGCGTTGGTTTAACGAATTTGTCTAACCACCCGTCTTTTGGCACATCGAAAATCTTTCGTGCCCCACTGCAACGCCGTTTTTGCCAAAACGCGCGTTCGCAGAATTGATGCGCAGCCGCAAACGGACTGATTACGCATGCTCCATCGATTTTTACGTAAATAAGCGCTGACGTAGCCTGTATGCGTTGCGTTTTAAAGAAAATACGCTCGTGCCAACTTAATCACGCCTTATGAACTGATTTTATCAAAAAAAGGTTTCAGGCCGCCGAATGCGGGCAATGGAGCGGCCAATGGAGCTGTAGAGCCGTAAGTTTCAAAAAAAAAGCTCGCCTCAATCGTTCGCAGGAGGATGCGGAGGAGAGTTGCTCCCCAAAAAAACCTCTGCCAAACTTCCTTTCCCAATTTATTTTTTTAAGATCCGGGCTTGCTACCGTAATCCTGTCGAGTTTCGAAACGGCCTGATCGGCTGGGGGTCGAACCCTGGGGGGTGCCGTGCGCCCCTAAAATTTGATAGGACCTATCCAGCTGCGCCGAAAAAAAAAGATAAATACGGCCACCAGCGCCTATATATTTAGTCATCTCTTGTTTTCGCTGATAGTAGCTAACTTGACGTAGACCAGGTTAAAGGGATAACCGCGGCATAAGTGATCGGTGGCGCGGGGAAAAGAACACCTGTCTCTGCGTCTCGCCTCTGGGGGCCCGTTCTCTGCCCTGTTGGCTACTTGCCGAAAAGTCGATCACGGGTGCTAAACCTTGGCTGTCGGTATCCCTTTAAGGGATCCCGGAGTGCTCGAGCCAAAAATACCCTTCCTAAGAAATTTCGTTAGGCCGCACGTTTAGCAACACGTTGGAGTACTACGACAATCGAACGACGCTGGGCGCAAATCCACGGCGCTACGAGTTCAACTACATTCCCGGAGAAGCCGATGGCGCTAACGCCAATGCTGTAGAGAGAGTTGGAAACGATTACGGAGTGATCGACTGGAGAACGCTGAGGAAATTGGTCAGTTGCTGATGAAAAAATTTGGTTGTATGTTTTTTATAGGTAAGGCTCCAGCAAACCCCCCAGCCGGCCCCCAACTTTAGGTCTCGTTCCCTGTTTATCTACAGGTGTGTAAAGTATACCAAAATGTTCGTCTTGCTCTGGCGAGTATTTTAGTATACTTTACACACCTGTAGATGAACAGGGAGCCGAGATACGGTAGGTGGGGGTCGGCTGGGGGGGGGGGAGGTATCTGGAGTTTAGCCTTTTTATACGCAGGATATAGAGAGAGAGAGAGAGAGAGAGAGAGAGAGCGCAGCAGCGGAGAGAGCGATAGATACATAGAGAACATTTTTAGAAAGATGAAAAAAACTGGGCATTGATTAAACACCCGATGGTGTTGAACTACGTAAACGAACGACTCCTGGGTAAGTTTTCGGAGGCGTTTCAAATTGCTTAAAGTTGTCTTTGCTAAGCGAGAGCCCGAAAGAGCGAAGTACATGTCCCGTAAGCCCCCATGATCAACCTTAGCGAAAGACAAAACCATTCCCAGAATGCGCCGTCTGGTACACCCTCCATATCATCATCTACTTCATCTTCTTGGTGGTGCTATCGGGGCACGTCTACTGGAAGACGCTCACAAAAGCGATTATTATCAGCGTCTTCGTGATTTTCCTCTTTTTCATAACCGTAAGCCTTGGATCAGCGAATTCTTCAATAAATCCTGCTGAAGACCGTCAAAGCTGTGAGAAAGGTGCAGATCGAGGAAAGCTGTTCCGGTTGGGCAGTGGCGGGCCTGGTCCTGAATTACGCGACATATATCACCACCGGGTGCTACGTTTGGCTGCCGGTCGCCTTCGAGTCCAACGGCTTTCACATGGAGATCAAGGTGGGGGCGAAAACGATGAAGCACTTCCAGCCCTTAAAAAACAGCGGGGAACCCGGAGCCAATAAGATTTCTGGGTAGCCTGGCTTAAATCAAGATACCTAGAACATCATCCTGCGCATCCTGCCGATATTGACGATCATCTCGGCCTGGGGCAACTTCCTCTACGTCCTTCGAAAGAGCCCCTACGGCATCTATATCTTCATGATGGCCCGAATTTTCTGGTCTTTTGCCAGGGTAAGTGCTCAATAAAGCCCTGAACTTTGCGAAACCGCGGTCGTCGCCCTCATTTTGCAAGCCATTATTCTCTAAGCCCATCCTCCGATAAAAATTTTTTTTGTTTTGTCCGTTTTGTTTTGCCAAACTATTTTTTTCCGGTGTGCACAATTTGGGTGCCGACCCTCGTCACGTTTGCGCTTTCCTTCCATCTGCTGATGCGTGAAACTGTGAAGACGCCATGGTCAATGGTTGAGCAGGACCAGGAGGTACGCGGCGAAGTGTCTCTCTCGCTCTCTCTCTCGCTCTCTCTCTCGCTCACTCTCTCTCGCTCTCTCTCGCTCTCTCTTTCGCTCTCTCTCTCTCTCACTCTCTCTCTCTCTCTCTCTCTCTCTCTCTCTCTCTCTCTCTCTCTCTCTCTCTCTCTCTCTCTCTTGCTGCCAAGTCTAACGCACCCTATTTTAGGGCCGGAATACCACATCATCGGTTCCGACGCTAATCATCGTCGTGCGCGCCATCGCCAAGACGTTGAGTATGATGATTGGAGAGGTAATGAGGGCACGACTTCGAAATATCAGCTAATTTCTCCGCTTTTTCAGCTCGATGCGAACACCATTCGAAACCAAACAATGGCTGCCAGCCCTGGTCGTTGTCGTCTTCGAGGTCGTGGCCGTGATTCTGCTCATGAACCTGATGGTGTCGCTAGCCGTTGGAGATGTCAGCGATCTGAGAGACTCGGCGCTGGATATGATGCTTCAGATTAAGGTGGGCAAGGCCTATTAGATTCGGAAAATTGGCTGTGACGTAATGTTTCCGTTCTTGAGGAAAGGGCAGGCTAGCAGAGATTCTTTAGGAAAGGGCAGGCTAGCAGAGATTCTTTAGGAAAGGGCAGGCTAGCAGAGATTCTTTAGGAAAGGGCAGGCTAGCAGAGATTCTTTAGGAAAGGGCAGGCTAGCAGAGATTCTTTAGGAAAGGGCAGGCTAGCAGAGATTCTTTAGGAAAGGGCAGGCTAGCAGAGGTTCTTTGGGAAAGGGCAGGCTAGCAGAGATTCTTTAGGAAAGGGAAGGCTAGCAGAGATTCTTTAGGAAAGGGAAGGCTAGTAGAGATTCTTTAGGAAAGGGCAGGCTAGCAGAGATTCTTTAGGAAAGGGAAGGCTAGTAGAGATTCTTTAGGAAAGGGCAGGCTAGCAGAGATTCTTTAGGGAAGGGCAGGCTAGCAGAGATCCTTTAGGAAAGAAACGCGCTTGCAGAAATTTTTTTCTTCCGCTTCCAGGTCAGCTACGTCATCGAGGCTCTCCAGATCAGCGTGCTTTGTAAAGGCCGCGTCCCAGTGGCCTGTGAGTGAGAAAGAGAGAGAGAGAGAGAGAGAGAGAGAGAGAGAGGGAGAGAGAGAGAGGAAGAAAGACGCTCCGTTTAATGGCGAAATTTTAGGGAATCTTTACAAAAACCCGACCAACGCCGTCTTGGTGATTGAAGGCGATGGGGGATATTTTACCGTGCCAGAAGCAAAAGCTCCCTACACCAATCCAGATGGCCTGTGGACACGGTCAGCGGCCAACGGCCTGCTTACCCCATTCCTTATTTCAGTTATGCGAAATGGCTGATCGGCCTGGATTTGGCCGGATATCTCCCGGAAGCGTAAGAAAGACTCGGCCGTTTCGCAAATTTCCATTTTTGCAGTCTTCCAGAAGCCGAGCTACTTCGCGCCATCCGGCTATCCCTTCCGCCAACTCCCCTCAAAGCTGACGCAAGCTCTCCTCCATAGCGGCTCCCTTATATGGTCCCTGAATTGTCCCTTATCTACCTCATTAACCCTCAAGTACCGTATCACTGCCACCATCGTCTATGTGCAATAATAAATTGTTAATTTTAGTCCCGAATAGTCTCTGCCAGCCTGCCCAAATATTCCGAAACCATCCCGAGCTTCTACTACGTAAATGACAGCCCTGGAAACGAGTTCTGATCCTCATCTCCCCAATTGGGGATGCCAACTGTTTTGGCAGACAGAGAGAGAGCGAGGGAGAGAGAGAGAGAGAGAGAGAGAGAGAGAGAGAGAGAGCACGCCAGGACACACTTGGCATCCAGACAAGTTGTCTTGTTCCCCCTCTTCGGGTGTTGCTTGTAGGGGATGATGTTTTTGGCTTTTGGCACCCTGTTTCGAGCTAGAGAGCGAAGGAGAGAGATAGAGAGAGATAGAGAGATCAACACATTCCCCAACAATCACTGTCCGTTTGCCCTGATACTCCGCTAGGTCTAAAATGACATCTACCTTCACAACTACAATTCCTAGTGCGCCGTCGTTGTTTGCGTTCCGCCCCATTCCTCTGAACACCCACCCGCTCCCAGGTGTTATCTGTAGCGGGACGGAATGTGCCCCCCCCCCCCGGGCACTTTCTCCTCCTCGATTCAAGCCTGGGACAGGTTCGGGCAAGAGAGTGAGAGACACAGCGAAGACTAGCGAGTAACGGTCGGTGCCCCATCCCATTTGCATGTCTAGGAGCGCGCGCAACTGTACGACACGCACCTTTTGACATGGGTGGGCAGGGCTTTGAAAGGAAAACGGCAGCTTTTGTGCTGTCGGGGCTTCTACTTTCCCTAGATGGCGGGCTGCCAAGGATGGAAAGTTGCAGAGATTCTTCAGGAAAAGGCAGGCCAGCAGAGACTCTTTAGGAAAGGACAGCTAGCAGAAATTCCTTAGGAAAGGGCAGGCTAGCAGAGATTCTTCAGGTCCGGGCAAGCTAGCAGAGATTTAGGAAAGGGCAGGCTAGCAGAGGTTCTTTAGGAAAGGGCAGGCCAACAGCGATTCTTTAAGAACCAGACGTTCTCGCCCCCTAAATTGCGCCACCTACCCTAGCTTTCACCACCCGTAAATAGCATCTGTTTGGAGCCAGTTTTTCTCGTGTACGAGTCACACCCTTCTTCCCCCTTCAAGGTGACAAAATGGGTGGTATTTGCGAGGGGGGAAAGGCGACGGCTCGAGCCCTCGGGGGCACACCCGAAATGAAGCCCAATTTCTTCGCCTCCTCGGTACAACCGAATCGTCCAGAGGAATTGGGAGTTGGCAGACGCTCAAAAAACCCTGGGCATGCCTAATTCGACCTTCACGAAAAACCGTCAAGCCGTGATGACGGGAACTTTGTTGGAAACGGGGGGGGGATGAGGTGACCTCGGAGTGAACTTCAAGGGAACTGGAAGGTTGATCGTGTCTAAAATCGGGCAAGCCAGCAGAGATCTTTTAGGAAAGGGCAGGTTAGCAGAGATTCTTTAGGAAGGGCAGGCCAGCAAGAGTCTCTTTAGGAAGGAACAGGCCAGCAGAGATCTTTTAGGAAAGGGCAGGTTAGCAGAGATTCTTCAGGAAAGGGCAGGCTAGCAGAGACTCTTTAGGAAAGGGCAGGCTAGCAGAGACTCGTTAGGAAAGGGAAGGCTAGCAGAGATTCTTTAGAGCCGCAGGCTAGCAGAGATTCTTTAGGAAGGGCAGGCTGCAGGAGACTCTTAGGGAAGGACAGGCTAGCAGAGATTCTCTAGGAAAGGGCAGGCTAGCAGATGGTCTTTAGGAAACAGATGGGCAGAGTTTCTTCCAGAAATCAAAGATTTTTTCCACGATTTAGTCGCAATCAGTAGTGCATCTTTACCACCCCTCCGATGCCTAGAACAAGGGACGTAAATCGTCTCCTGTCATCCCTGTCATTTCGACTCCCCTTTTTTGGGGTTGTCCCCTCTGTCCTCCCGCTTCAAAGCTTCGTGACTCAATCTGCCATCCGTCATCTCGCCCCGGGCTTTCGACTGTGGTGGGCTGGGGGGGACGGACAAAGCTTAGCACTCTCTCTCTCTCTCTCTCTCTCTCTCTCTCTCTCTCTCACTACCCCCAAAATACCCTTGTCGGGGAAGGCTGCAGGGCACGTTTCTGGAGTAGCTGTATTACGCCAGTACCCACCCTGTACGACAGGTCCAATTCGAGAGCTTCCAGCTGACCAACAAAGTGGGGAAGGGTTGGTGGTTTACCTGAATGCTTTAAGTGTTCAAAAGGTATCTGGAAGTTTTAAAAGCTTACCCAAGCCGAATCCCCAGTAACCTCTGCTAGCCTGCCCCTTCCTAAAAGAATCTCTGCTAGCCTGCATTTCCTAAAGAATCTCTGCTATACCCTTCCCAAAAAGTCTCTGCTAGCCTACCCTTCCCCCTAAAGAATCCTCTTCTCCCTACCAAATTTAGCCTGCCCTCTGATCGCTGTAAAATCGCTGGCAAGAATCATGCGGAAACGGAAAGTTCTCGGAAAAATTTTCCTCACTAAGAGACCACTCCCTCCCCCAAACGAGGGTCATTTGCCCAGGAATCAGACAAAACAGGCTGGGCATTGGTATTGCCACTGTAATCAGAGAGCGAGAGAGGAGAGAGAGAGAGAGAGAGAGAGAAAGGAGAGAGGGAGAGAGGGCAGGAAACAGTAGTTTTCTCAGGTTTCCCGGGGTGTCTCGTGGGTTCAAGCTCCACTTCCCTCTGGCGGGGGTGTATAAGCCCAGGAAACCTGAGCGAGACCCCTTGACTGTTTCAATCCCCCCCTCTCCACCAATTCCTTGATCCTAACGCTAGAGGATGTTCGGGAGAAGCTCCTTGTGGGCATCACGAGCACTTGCTCAGCCCCTGGCCATCTGCCCCCCCTCATCGTCATCCCCAGCTTGTACAACGAGATCAACAGGTTATGGTTGTTTCTCGATTTTTTGGGGCCGGCAGCTAGCAGAGATTCTTTAGGGAAAGGAGCAGGCTAGCAGAGGTGCTTTAGGGAAGGGCGGTAGCAGAGATTATTTAGGAAGGACAGGCTCAGAGATTCTTCAGCAAAGGGCAGGCTATGCAGAGATTCTTTAGGAAAGGGCAGGCTAGCAGAATTCTTTAGGAAAGGGCAGGCTAGCAGAGATTCTTCAGGAAAGGGCAGGCTAGCAGAGATTCTTTTGGAAAGGGCAGGCTAGAGAGATTCTTCTAGGAAAAGGGCAGGCTAGCAGAGATTCTTTAGGAAAGGGCAGGCTAGCAGAGATTCTTTAGGAAAGGGCAGGCCAGCAGATTCTTTAGGAAGGGCAGGCTAGCAGAGATTCTTTAGGAAAGGGCAGGCTAGCAGAGATTCTTTAGGAAAGGGCAGGCTAGCAGAGATTCTTTAGGAAAGGACAGCCTAGCAGAAATCGTTTATGCAACTCCTAATTTTCCCATTTCCAGGTCCACAACGCCGTCCTCGATGGCGTCAACGTCTTCCGCGTGGAGACCGACTCGGCCTGGTTGGGTGACCCAGATGATGGACATCCAGATCGTCGTCACCCGCCGTCCAAGCCGAGGTACTGTCACAGCGCCTTTAAAAGTTTTTAAACGTTAACGGTTTTAAAAACTCATTTTTGAAGTCTGAAGGACCTAATTGCTGTAATTTTTGTATTCAGAGAGAACCCCTTCAACTCCATCTTCCGCCAGAAGCGTCAAAACTTTGCCGGACTTCCGGCCTGGTGCCAGTGCGAGCCGACCAAGCCACAGTGCCCGCCCGGCCCGCCTGGACCTCCTGGAGAGCCCGGACAGCCCGGACAGCCTGGACCTCCCGGTATGTGTATTGGTGGATAGGCAGGCTAGCAGGGATTCTTTGGGAATAGGAACCAATGTTGATCTACCGAATTTCTGAATTTCCCCTTCAGGAGCCCCTGGTGACGACAACAAGCAGACCTACGCCCCGCTCACTTGCCCGCCCCAGGACACCGCCTGCATCAAGTGCCCCCAGGGCCCGCCTGGACCCGCTGGACCCGACGGAAACCAGGTATGCCTAAGCCTGGACTCGCCGAACTTGACGTCGCGCCAAAAAGCCACTGTCATGCCCCCTTAAACCAAATTTTCAGGGACCTGCCGGCCCGGACGGACAACCTGGACCTGCCGGAAACCCCGGCAACGACGACCAGCCCGGCCCCGCCGGCCCGGCCGGAGATTCCGGAGCCCCCGGCCAGCCTGGAGGCCCCTGGACAGCCAGGAGCCCCCGGAAAAGATGGACAACGCGGAAAGGGACAGCCCGGACAGAAGGGACCGGCTGGACAGCCTGGACCACAGGGACAACCTGGACAGAACGGAAACGATGGACAGCCTGGAGCCCCTGGACCTCAGGTATGTGGCGGAGAGAGAGATAGAGAGAGAGAGAGAGAGGGAAAGAGCGAGTGAGAGAGAGCTAGAGGGAGGGAGAGAGAGCGAGAGAGAGAGAGCGAAAGCAAGGAGCCTAGCAGAACTCTTTTGGATTTCAGGCAAGCTAGCAGAGTTTCTTTAGGAAGGCAATGCTAGCAAAGGACATTTGGGAAGCTCATTAATGCGCAAATACCTCTACTTTTTCAGGGACCCCCCGGCCCGGCCGGCAGCCCCGGAAACGCCGGTGGAGATGGACATCCCGGTGGCCCTGGAGGCCCCGGCCTTCCCGGAACGGATGCCGCCTACTGCCCCTGCCCACCTCGCTCGGCCGTGTTCGTCAACCGCTTCGCCAAGAAGCACTAGAGCGGATGCGAAGAGAGCTAATCGCTTCGATAAAGAATTTACAAGCAAAACATCGACAATATATCGACAAAAGTTCAATTTAAAAGCACCAAAAATTTTGTTAAATAATCTCTGCTAGCCTGCCCTTTCCTAAGGAATCTCTGCTAGCCTGCCATTTCCTAAAGAATCTCTGCTAGCCTGCCATTTCCTAAAGAATCTCTGCTAGCCTGAACTTTCCTAAAGGATCTTTGCTAGCTTGCTTTGCTTAAAGATCTTCTGCTAGCCTCCCAATTTTTTCGAATCCCGCATAATTTATCTACCTCCTCGAGCTCGAGCTCGATCTCCTGCTCGCTTGACCGCTTCCCGCCACTTCCCCACCTCACCCCATGCATCACAAATAGCCGCGCCGAGCAAGGGGGCACAAAATTTCGCTCGCCTTTTTTGCCCGTTGTCTCAGCAATGCAAAAGTTCGTTCTTCTGGTCGCGGGGGCCTCTGTGACGCCCCCAGTGGCCAAAAAAGAGGGCCCCCCAAAATGGGCCCTCTGTCAATGCAGAGAGAGAAATGGCCTCTCCATCCATTCGCTTCCAAGCCCCGCGCATTGATCTCGGCGCGACTTTTTAAATCTATGGATTAGGTTTTATAGCCGATTTTTCTATAAAAAAAATTAGTAGTAACTATTAATAATTTATTTTATTCCAAATAACAACGACAAAAAAATTGCTTTTGTGATATTTATGGAAAAACTGAAGCGAAGCCGAAGCCTAAGCTCTAGCATAAGCCTATCCTTTTTAGTGAGCTAAGCCTAACGTAAGCCTAAGCCTAAGAATTTGGTAATTAACCGCAAACTTGGAGTAATTGAACCGGGCGCCGTCGCGCTTTCCCACTAGCCCCCCACCTGGCCCACTGTGTGGACAGATAGTCCAGCCCTTCCCACCTCAATTCGTCAGTCGGTTCACCCCAACCTTCTGACAAATGGGTGTCAGGGCTCCCCTTAATGCCTGTAAATGGGTGGAATGGCTCCCCTTAATGCCTGAGAAAAGCTACGGCTTCTGAACTGCTAAAAGCTTCGGCTTTGCAGTATAAAAGTACTGGCTTGGCTACGTGTTCTACGTAGTCCAAATGCCTAAACAACCGGTTGAGTGAGGCTGCAGCCACAGGCGCGGCACTTACAAAAAAGCCTGGCCCATACACGTGGTGGCCAAAAAAAAGGCTAATTTCCCTCCAATTTTCCGCATTGTCCTACCCCCCCTCCACAGTGCTTTTTCCCCTGGCCCCGTCCCCCTCCCTCTCCCCCCTTCCGCCTCCCAAAACCCCCAAACACCCAACCCCAATCGCCCAAACCCCAATCGCCCAAACCCCCAATCTCCCAAACCCAAAAACTCTGTCCACATGACGATTGGGCAACTACACACGCCCATTCAAATGCATAGATTTCCGGCAATTTGAGGCGGAAGGCTACGGGGCGCTACACGGCACGTACGTACCACAACGGCAAGCAACATTGGGTTCGAATCTTTTAGTTGGGTAATCCTGACGGGCAAATGTAAAAGATAAGTGAAATAAAATAGAATTTGGCGCTAGAATCACTACCAGGCGTTTCATTTTACTTTCTTACTACAGTTTGTGACAAAAGGATAGGTGGCTCGACTTTTTTCGTAATTTTTCTCAGCGATTTGGCATGTAGGCATCCTGACCGGTCCGTTCGTTTTGTAGCCCGAAAAAAGGAGAGAATTTTGGTATACTGGACATGTCTTAACAATGAAGCAACAGATTTTTATAAGCATTTTAAGTTTTCAATAGGCTATCTCATTCCCAGGGCCGTTCGCTACACACCAATACAAACGACCCTGCAAAGCCCGGCACACCCCAAGAAATTCAAACGAAATAAAAATCGCCTTCGTTTCGATACTTTTTGAATTCAGTTTTCTTAGTTCTTGGTATCATTAGAATCGCCGTGTCCCATTCTACAAAGTTGGAAATCGACTTTTTTAGATTCCCTTCGTTTTGAAGTTATAAGGCTTCCAATTTGGGGTTATATTTTCTTGACAAATGGAGCGTCGCGTTGCTTAGTATTTATTGCCGCTATTTCTGGGCGTGTACAGGGTGCTCTCCGTAGTCGATTACCCAGGGGTAGCCGCGAGCGTTTTCGGAAATTACACTTCTTCCACGTGCCCTTCCCTTGTTAGACGCTTTAAAAGTGTCATTTGGCGCGTCATGTAGTTGTCGAGAGCTAGCCTGAGCCGAATGTCGATTTTTTGCGCTTCCCAGCTCCTTTAAAAGCTCCGGGATACGCCATTTGACGCATAATAGTTGCGAGTCCTAGTTCAGGCGAAACGTCTCGATTTATCTGCTTGCCGGTCCCTTTAAAACCCTCAAAATCGCCCGGAACCAACAAAAAGCCTCCCCGACTCTTGGTCTATTGATCTGCGCTCGTCCCATTTTTTGGGGTGCCTCATTTTTGGCGGCTTTTTGCGGCGTTTTTAAGCGACGGAGAAGCGGCGAATGGAGGCTTTTCCCGGGGTTCCGGGGCCATATCTCTGCTGCATTTTGCGGGGAGCAGGGCTAGGGGCCCCCGCCACGAATTCTGATGGGTGGGCGACGTCGAGGCGGACGAGTAGACGAGAAAGAGGACGACGCTCGCAGCACAACCAATTGCATTTTAGGCGTCTCCTCCTCTTTTTTTTGGGGGGCTATGCTTTTGGCACCCATCCCCTAGCGGGTGGCCGGGGGTAATTTTGGGGTGACTTCCTCGCGTGCTACCCCCCGCTCTGGAACTCCCTAAAGCGAGGGACGCCCCGGCAATACGGACATATTCCGGGGTTTTTTGGCCTGATTTTGGGTTTAAAGGGATTCGGAAGGCAAAAAAACTGTGGATTCTTCTAGTGGGTTCAGACCGAAATCGACAGAACTCGTTATGGCTTCTGAGGCTTTGGCAAGTTTGGGACTGAATTCTACATCCACCGTGGCTACCTCCGGGAACAATTTACGTATCCCGACATTTACGTAACTTTAAAGAGAGAGAAAGAGTTGTTAGATTACGCGATTTATTACCTACCTACCTACGCCCGTCGACGTGGTTCTCTCCACATAGAACAATATCCTGATCGAAACACCTGCCCTCATATATCTTTTTTTTTTCTGAACTCAATTAGTGCTGCCGCTCCATTTAGTGGAGTTTCTAATCCGTCCCCCCCTCGCTCCGGAAATGCGATTCCGCCCCGCAGCCGCAGAGACCCATTTTGTGGTCGGCGATCCTTGGCTTTTGGCTTCACCCTCTAGGTTTTTTCGAGTCATATGGCTTCATTTTTTTTGGAAGAAAATGAAATTTGTTTCGATTTCTTTCCTCTTTCTCTATTTTTGGTGTTTTTTCGTCCACATTTCTTTTCCTTTCTCTTTTCTTTCTCTCTTATCTCTCTCACGCTCCCTCTCTCTCTCTCTCTCTCTCACTCTCTCTCTTTCTCTCTTTCTCTTTCTCTCTCTCTCTCTCTCTCTCTCTCTCTCTCTCTCGCTTTAAATACGAACTCTATAAATCCAGGGAATTTCCCGCATGCGAGCCGATGATCGTTGGCGATTGTCATCGGCTGAAGGTGTCGTCCCATCGGCACATGAACCCCGCGAAGGCTATGAGGGAACCGCGAAGCGGCGGGTTGCGGATCGGCAGCTAAAGTACGTTAGAGGCTGGGCAGGCCAGCAGAGATTCTTTAGGAAAGGGCAGGCTAGCAGAGATCATTTAGTGTGACTCTTTGACTTCCCAGTCCTTTGAATGCACTTCCGGGCCCCTCAATTTCACCCTCCCTTGTGTCTTGGCCGCTGATTTATTTTTGCGCGTTCCCGGGCGTTGGAAAAAGAAATGGGGGAGCCTGATGAATATTTACCCCAGCGGGGGAGAGGGAGGAAAATGGATTTTCAAAGGAATATTTTTGTTCTTTCCTTCTCTCTCTCTCTTTCTCTCTCTCTCTATCTCTCTCTTTCTCTCTCTCTCTCTCTCTCTCTCTTTCTCTGTGAGGAGAATCGGGAATCGGGGTAATTCTTCAGCAACCTTCTCAATCTTCTGGATGTTTAGGTGCGAGGAGAGTCGATCGGCCGGATGTAGTCCGTTGGTGAGAAGAAGGAACAAAGGTGAGTTCCTAGGCCCCCGCCCCCCCCCCCGCCCCCCGCCCCCGCCCCCCCCGCCGGCGGCGCCTCCTCAAGAATCTCTGCTAGCCTGCCCTTGTTTTTCTGAGTGACGCACGATCTGCAGAAGCGGAAGACGCAGTTATGAATTTCTGCCAAGGAAAGAGCAAATGAGAGAGAGTGAGAGAGAGTGAGAGAGAGAGAGAGAAAGATTGTGAATTATACGTCAGCCCCATATAGATCACTATCGAGCGATCGTCAGTCCCCGTCATTCCCTTCCTTCTTCTCTTCTTCTTCCTTTCTGGTGCCCTCTTTGCGTCAGCGCATGACAATGCGAAATATTTCATTCGTTCCCACTTTGCAGACTTATTGTCTTTAGTTTTCCAAAATCCAGTGTTATTATCTTGATTTACCGTAACATATGACTAGTTGGCCGATTCGGCAGGCTGGCAGAGATTCTTTAAGGGAGGGGGGCAGGGAGAGGGGGGCAGGGGCCGGAACACACAAATAGCCGAGATCATTTAGGAAAATTTACAAAGTCATTGTGGAAACCCTAGAGAATTCTAGAGGTCCTAAATCGCATCACTTCGTCATTTCGGAGCCCCGGGGAACGCCGGAAATATGCCGAGGCAATACTAGAGTGTCCCTGGAGTGTTCTCCGTTTTTTGCCCGTTCAGGAGAGGTCCACAAAGTGGAGAGAGAGAGAGAGAGAGAGAGAGAGAGATCTGCCTTGTTTTTGGGGATTGGATGGGGATGGAGAGTAATTTCATTCTCACATCTCCTCGTGCTCTTCTTACTCACTCCCACCTCTCCCTTCTGCTTCCATTATCCATACGCCTGTCCTCCCGAATGGATGTGTACACCCCCGCGTATCTCCCCTACGTCTTCCAGACGTACGCCGGGTTGTTGTAGGTTTTAAAGGGACTGGGAAGGCTTGGGAAGCCTGCGGATGTTTCCATTTTTATCGAAATAGACCGAGAAATTACTTGAATTTCTAGATTTTAGCTATATTGTCGAAATCCTGGCCAAATTCTACGTATCTTGAAGCTTAAAATTGGCCAAATTGACTGGAAACGCATTGGAATTTGGTGTATTTCGTAGCCTTGCGCTGATTCCTTTGACATCTTAAAGGGACCGTCTCTCGGAGCTTGAGCAGCTAGCAGAGATTTTTCAGGAATCCCGAACCTCAAAAATTGCCCTTTTTCAGGCGCCGGCCTCTTCGGATGCCGTGCTTCCTTCGAGTCCTCCTACTCGCTAGCTTATCCTATTAGCTGTGAAAGTGTCGGTATGTTAAGTTTTTGATAAACCTACTAGGCTCCTCTGCCTTACGCGTCCCTTTAAAATCCATTTTTTAGCCGAAATGTCACCAAAAACACGTCGAAAACGGTTGTGGAAGACGCTGAGCATCGTATCGCCATTCAGGTATGCTTTTCTCAAGAATCTCTGCTAGCCTGCCCTTTCGTCAAGAATCTCTGCTAGCCTACCCTTTCCTAAAGAATCTCTGCTAGCCTGCCCTTTCGTCAAGAATCTCTGCTAGCCTGCCCTTTCCTAAAGATCCTCTGCTAGCTTATTCTTTTTCAGCTCCCGGAAATGCAAGAAAGTGGTAGCGGATGATGTGACTCCCGTCGCCGAACAGCCGAGACTACCAAGCTTACCACAGGCTACGGTAATTGGAGCATTTTCCAGGATAATTTATGAGTTTAGGTCCCTCAGCGAAGACCGCAAAGTATTGGGATACCAGCTGAGGTGAGTACTTCCTTACTTAGTTCCTGAACTTTGCTGTCACCTTCCCTTTAAGTTGGTTTTTATGACCCGTCCGGCCCACGACTGCCACACTACCTTGAAACCCAATTCTCATCCAAATTTGAGGTGTCACGCTCCCTTTAAAGTCAATTTTCGCTGAAATCTGGATGTCGCCATTGCTTTAAAATCACTCTATAAAACCACTTCTAGTGCACATTCTCAGGTGTCGCGCTCCCTTTAAGCTTATTTCTTGGCTCTCTCCGTCTCTCTTTCTCTCTCTCTCGCTCTCTCTCTTATCTCCGCCCCTCTAAAGTGCATATTTGTCTTATCGGGATGTCACGCTCCCTTTAAAACTACGTTTTTCCTGAATTTTACGATTTCGAGCCGATTTTCACCCTAAATTTGATTTTTGACCCACCGGAATGTCACGCTCCCTTTAAAACGGCCTCTTTTGCTTGATTTTCCGATTTTGAGGCCATTTTTACCCTAAAAAATGACATTTTGAGTCGGCCGGGCTCCCCTGCAGCTGCCACCAAAAATATTTTGACTGAGCAAGCCCCCGGGAGAGCGAGCCCCGAAATGATGACGAGCGTTGCCCCAAAAAAATTTTGCCTAGCAGCCTGAACTGTTCGCCAGGTTTTGCCCACCCGTAAAATATTCGGGTTCCCGCTGCGGGAACCCCTGACCCAAAAATTGGGCCCAAAAATCGATCGATATCGACGGAATTCTGGGGATATTCTGGCGCGGATTGCCCTTTGAAGGACACCGACTCGGCCATAAGTCGTGGGAGGATTTTTCTGAGGGGACTGTTAGGAATTCCGGAATATTACTATTTGCACAAGGGCTACGCTACAGTACGTAACGATACGTTACACTACTACGGTCCTCTGCTTTAGTAGTACGCGACGATAGTACTTACATAGAAACTACGTTACCTTGCTCTGTATCGCGGGACTCGCTACGGTACGACAGAGTACGCGACGCTACTCTCGACGACCAACATTACGCTACAGTACTATCCACGACGTATTTGTGGCCGCTACCTACAACGCTATTTTCGTTTTCTTTTACGCTACGCTCCTATACTCAACCTGTCCGGCTACGCTACAATACTCTGAACACCAGCTATGGGAATCTTTGGCAATTGGAACAACAAGGTCGAGTCGGCTTTAAATGGAGCGTGCCGCCAATTCTACCACTTCCCAGTCCCTTTAAAATGCGATCAGCTGCTTGGCCCCAGCATGGGGAGCTTATGAAAATTCGGGAAAAGCCGGAAAAAGGGCAGCGAACCGGACCGGCAGGCGAATTGTTGTTTTTGGATCAATATTGGGAAGGCGGAAAGTGGTTGGGGGTATTTGCCTTTATGGCTAGACGGGACGGTTTTTGAGACATTTTTATAGATTGTTTTATACTTCCTAAAATTGCTCTGGTTTTCCAGTTCTATAGCCTATACGATATTGTCTTAGGAAAACCTAAGCAGTGTAAAAAACTAAAAATCATATTTACCGTCTAAAAATGCGAACTTTGCCGTTTTTGGCACCTAGCCAACACTTTTCCACTTTTTCTTGCAGTCTTGGTGGTGTAGATAGGTGTCATGCGGAAAAGCTAAAAGAAGTGCCGAGTATTTTCCCACATTTCCCCGTGTCGTCCCCGGCAATTCGGAGCGTCCCGGAATGGCCCTAAAACACATACGAAATTCTGGAAAAGCTAGATGATGAGCGGAAATGGGGAAAGAGAGCAAGAGAGAGAGAGAGAGAGAGAGAGAGAGAGAAGAGAGAGAGAAAGAGAGAGAGATAGAGAGAGAGAGAGAGAGAGAGAGAAAGAGAGAGAGAGAGAGAGAAAGATAAAGAGAGAGAGAACGAGAGAGATAAAGAGGGGGAGGGAGTGAGATATTCCAAAGAACCTCCGCAAGCCTACCCTTTCCTAAACAATCTCTGCAAGCCTGCCCTTTTCAAGTTCAAACGGAAAGTCTGGGTCCCATTCAAATCCTCCCCTCCCAGAAGCGCCTTTTTTCTATCGGAAATCCATGGAATCGGTGGGCATGAAATCGTGGGCAGGCGGGGGCCAGGCTGCAGCCTTTTTCTTGCCACCAGGACACTCCACGTCTAATTTCAATTCTGGGAGGTGTTATTTTGAGCTGTTTTTGGCGAAAAACGCTTTTCCCCTTTCTCTCTCTCTCTCTCTCTCTCTCTCTCTCTCCCCCTCCATCTCCAGGAGCATGATCCGTAGCCTGATGAAAAAGATTTCCGCCGAGAAAGGGGATGGCCAAGCGTCGGAGGACGAGGTTTTTAATTTTTAAGCAGCTAGAATTGAGGCCGTCCTGTCACCATCCCTTTAAAATTCTAATTTATTGGGTTTAGGTATCACTGGAAGCTGGTGTCGACTATTCCCTTCACTACGTTACGTTTCTCGTACGGATACGGCTGAAAGAGGGGATTGGGCTAGCCGTGAGGGATGCATCAGGTTGGTTTTTCTCTGATTTCTCTGCGTCTCTCTAGTTTCTACACTCTCTAGTTGATCTCTAAAAATCACTAGCTGTCCTCATACCTTTAAAGGTCCTTTAAAGGGTCCGGGAAGGCATGGTTATGATTTTTTGGCTATGGATTGTAGATAGATTTTTATTTTTTATGCTTTAAGACCGCGAAAAGGCAACCAATTACGCATATGAAAGGAACTTGAGCTTAAGCATCTATCACTAGCTGTAACTCTCCCTTTAAAGATACAAGGAGCATATGTAGGTATCTATAAGAAATCCAAAGCCAATAAATATGCCAAATTGCCTTCCCGGGTCCTTAAAATACCTATCTAACCTCTAAAAAGCACTTAATACGTCGTAATCGATTACGTCAGGTAAAGGCGGCAGAAGTAAAGCTATAACTTCAATGTCCCTTCAAAACCTTCGAACGTTGTAGCCCGTAGGACGCGCTTGATCCCCGTGTCCACCACACTAGGAATCATCCAACGACAGCGTAGATATACATATGATTTCTTCTATTTGTTTAGCTTATCGTAACCGAACGCAACGAGATGTTTAGTCCCTTTAAAACGAGACATTTAGGCAGCAGCGACCCCTATGTCCGCTTCAAGTACAAGGAAAGGATCGTCTACAAGAGTAATACGATATTTAAGGTATGCTAGCAGAGACTTTTTGGGAAAAGTCAGGCTAGCGGAGATTCTTTAGGAAGGCCAAGCTGGCAGAGATCACTTGCTCGTTTTAGAACTTGAACCCGGTCTGGGATGAAGAATTTTCGATGCTGGTGGACGACATCACAAACCCCGATTGTGATAGGGTGAGACCCCGCGAGAGAGAGAGAGAGAGAGAGAGAGTGAGAGACCAGAGAGCCAGAGAGAGAGAGAGAGAGGCCCCAGAGTGAGAGAGAGAGAGAGAGAGACGAGGAGAGTCCCCGAGAGAGAGAACAACCATTTCTAGGTCTACGACTACGACCGTTTCTGCACTGACGACTTCATGGGCTCCGCCCAGCTCGACCTCAGCCAGCTGAAGCTCTTTCAGTGGGTTTCAGGCAGGGAGCAGGCTAGCAGCGATTTTCGGAAAGTGTCAGGGCAGGGCAAGCTCCATAGATTTTTTTCGGAAAGAACCAGGCTAGCGGCGACGATTTTAGGAAACTCCGAAAACCCGCCATTTCACGGACGTCTCAGAAATCGACGAGTAGAGTTGAAACCGGCCCGAACCACTTTTTCTGTTGTTAAACTATCATTTTCTAGATGTTATAGAAAATTAACGAGTTTTTAATGCCAATTTTGAGCCTAAGAATTGACGCTACCTCTCACGTCGGTTGGGGGCGCCGCCGGGACGTGTTCGAAGTAAGTCGCGTAGCAGAGATTCATGAATACCTTCCGAAAATTACGAATTTTTGTTAAGAATAAAGTAATAATATGACTTAAATACCAGTAATCCTGAACGTGAAAATTTGAAAAAATCAAGAGAAAATGGCAGAATTTGATTGAATTCGTAGCGAAACGCCGAAATTTCCAGGCAATTGAGCGCGTCACCCCTAATTTTAGACATAACAAAGTCGGCGGGGCTGATCCCCCGTGAATTTGTGCAAGTTTTGACGTTTTTAATCGATTAATTTGAGATTTTAAGGTTTTAGTCTACTAAAAATACTAAATCCACGTTTTTTAAGGGCGAAGAACTCGGCCAGATCGCCCTCTCGCTATCGATTATGCCACAAACACAAGAGGAGAAAGAACAGGTAGCTTTTGAACGTTCTCTCTCTCTCTCTCTCTCTTTCTCTGTCTCTCTCTCTCACTTCATGACTAGCGATTACATTCTGTTTAGTTCCTTCAAAAGTCCCGAGGTGGCGTGCTGTCATCACAAGAAGTGAAGGCGCAACGTCGTGAGTTTTTCGATACCTTATCCTTATTATCCTTATTCATAGCGTAATGAATTACCTCAATCCGTTCGGCTATCATTTAATGGCGTAATCGTTTCATGGAGCCTGAATACACGATTTTCGTAGCGTAATCGGGAAACCCTTTCTTTGTTCGGTAAATTTTGTGGTGTAATCGGTTAAACGCAACCCAGTGGTCGGTTATTTCATAGCGTAATAGCTTAGTTCAGGCGTAAAAATCACATTTCATAGCTTTATCTAGCACATCAGCCCTCGATTCTCCGTATTTCATAGCGTAATCGCTTACCCGGGTCCTAAAAATCTTCAATTCCATAGCATAATGCATTACCTCATCGGCTCCAGATTTCTCCCTTCTCTTCCTCCGACCGGGTAATACACAGGGTTCAGCACCGCTTTTTTGCCAATTTTCGAATTTTTCAACCAGCAAAAACTTCATTTAAATGTGTCTTTTAGTCGTTCAAATCTGGGCTCGGTCGTCAGTAATGGTTCTCGTCGAGGCGAAGGAGAAGCACAGGTACATTACAGACCAATTTACATGACGTAATCGGTTTAGCTCTAGCAGGGGGAATACTAGCAACGACCATTTGGGAACATAGCTGAAGATTTTTGGCTCTTAAAGTACCGTAACTTTTCCAGGCGACCCGCTCCCGGAGCCCCAGATCTAAATACTGCAAGTTCAAGAAGCTCGGCCAGGAGAAGTACAAGAGCAAGGCAGAGTGGGCAATTATGCTTTAAAGGGTCTAAAGGGGATTGAAAATCGCTTGCAGAAGCCTTTAAACTCATTAGTCTTGTTTCAGGTCATCTCCAGGACCGGCGACCCCAAGTGGATCGAGCAGTTCGACCTCCACATTTTTGAGGGAGGGGCAGAGATGTTGGAGCTGAGCTGTCATGACAAGGACGAGCACTTGTATCCGGGCGGTAGGGAGGGAGAGAGAGCGAGAGCGACAGGGGAGTCGAGCCCGAGCGAGAGCGAGGGAGAGAGCACGAGAGAGGGATCGAGAGGGAGAGATCGAGAGAATTTGTCCATGAGTTTCTGCTAGCCTGCCCTTTCCAGAACCTCAATCGACCTGACGGCCGTCGAACGCGACACTACCGTCCAGCAGTGGCATACCGTCTATTCGGTAAGAAGAGATGCACCCTGTGGAAAATTACTGCTACTGGTAAGCTACTGCCTTCCCTGTCCCTTTAAAATCCCCGTCTTGTAGATAACGATCTCCGGCAGTCAGTCCACAGATACGGTCGTCGATCTGGCAGAGTTCAACCAAAATGACGTCCGCCACGCCATCGTCCCCAGAAGTTTGTGCGTTCCCGGTTAATGTTGTTCTAGCTTATCTCTCTCTCTCACTCCCTCTCTCTCTCTCTCTCTCTCTCTCTCTCTATTTCTAACTCTCCACTTCCAGGAACTCCGCTACAGTCATCAATGCCTCAAGGAAGTCGGCCATCTGACGGTGAAAGGTACGTAGCAGAGATTCTTGTGGAAATATCGCTATCCCTTCAAACGTCCCCTTCCAGTCTTTCGAGCCGAAAACCTTATCGCCAAGGACTTGGGCGGGAAGTCTGACCCGTTCGCAGTGCTGGAATTAGTAAGCTGCCGTACTTCCGGTGGTATTTTTGTTTCTGGAGTGAGGACACGGCTGCCCGGGCGCACCAAAGTACAAGACGTTATCACCGCACTGGAATAAGCTGTTCATATTGTGGGTCGTAGGTCTTGAAAAATCAAGCTAGCAGAGATTCTGAAGGAAGGGGCAGGCTAGCAGAGATTTTTTGAGAGCCCATATTTCTCCTTCAGCTCTGTCCGCGACATCCACACGTGCCTCGAAGTGACCGTCTACGACGTTGGCCGAACAACAGAATTCGAGTTCCTAGGCCCGGTCTCGATCCCGTTAGTTACGGTAGGATACTGTAGCCAGTAGCTGTATGAACATAGTACAGATCCGGAATTGCGCGAAGAAATGGTTCGCGCTGAAGGACAAGAAGCTGACGAATCGTGTGCGGGGGGACATTCTGTTGGAGCTGGACCTTATTTGGAATCCGGTAAGGGGATACGGTAACGTAGGGGGTATAGTACGTTAAATACGCCTTTACAGTACCCTGTAAAACAGGCAAATTCCAGATTCGGGCAGCGATTCGTACATTCAACCCCAGGGAGCAGAAGTACATCCAACCGGAACATAAATTCAAGCCGGCACAATTTAAGGCGCGGTGGTGATCAGTGACTGTATCGTTTCTCTCTCTCTCTCTCTCTCTCTCTCTCTCTCTCTGTTTCTCGCTCTCTCGCCAATTTTTCCCTTTAGGATTTTGCCATGTCGGTCATTGAGTACAAGGACTACATCTACAGTTGTTTCGATTGGGAGTCGAGGAGTCGGAGCTTATTCGCTTTTTTGGTAGGTCTTTTCCACAAAAATCTCTGCTAGCCTGCCCCGTCGTTAAGAATCTCTGCTAACCTCCTCCTTCTGAAGAATCTCTGCTAGCCTACCCCTATTTCAGCTCTTTCATAATCACCGTCTACAATTTCCAACTCCACCATGCTCCTATCGTCATTTTACTCCTATTCCTGAAGGTACGGTAATCGGGCCACCTTTTAAAGGGAATGCGACAGCAAAATTTGTCTGTTTTTCTAGGGCTACGTCTACAGGCGCATCGCGGACGGGCTAAGCCATGGAAAACGATGGGAAGAACGAGGATTATCTGCCGGTGGAAATTCGGTAGATGAGGACGACGAGGGTGAACTGATTATACCTACGAAACAGAAGGCCGAGGTACGGAATACACCAATAGGCAGGCTACAGTACCCTTTAGGCGAGCTCCTCGCTACGGGATACTTTCTTCTCAGTGCAGGAGACGCTGCAAGTAGTTCAAGGAGTGCTCGTGTTCATCAACGAGTTGCTGCAGAGGATCAAGAAGTGGGAGAAGCTCAAGAACTCTGCTGGCCTTCCGATTTCCTAAAGAATCTCTGCTAGCCTACCCTTTCCTAAAGAATCTCTGCTAGCCTGCCTTTCCTAAGAATCTCTGCTAGCCTGCCCTTTCCTAAAGAATCTCTGCTAGCCTGCCCTTTCCTAAAGAATCTCTGCTAGCCTGCCCTTTCCTAAAGAATCTCTGCTAGCGGCCATTTTCAGCACCTTCAACTTCACAAACCCGTGGCTCTCCTGGCTAGCTGTAGTCGTTCTAACCGTAGCCACCGGTCTATTGTACCTCGTCCCCCTCCGCTGGATCATCATGGTCTGGGGTACGGTACTTTACGGCCAGCTACGGTACCTGGTCCATCTTTTAGGTATCAACAAGTTCACCAAAAAGCTGCGCAACCCGCACTATGTCGACAACAATGAACTGCTCGACTATTTGTCTCGGGTGCCGAGTGATACGGAAATTGTATGTTTTTGATGGTTAAGTTGGTTTGAGAAGCTGTCACGCTCCCTTTAAACAGGTCTTTGGGCGGTTTTAAAGGGACTGGGAACCCAAAAAATGGACTACAATCCATGAAAAAATTTTAGCAACAATGGCGCGAGCTGCCCGTCGAGCCGAAGAAGCCAGCGAAGGAGAAGACTTCGAAATAAGTTATTTTCTTGTTGATTTTATAGACTTTCTAGAGCCTAAGCCAGGCGTTAAGCCAGCCTAAGCCAAGCCTAAGCTAAGCCATGCCTAAGCCTGAGCCTAAGCCTAAGCCTTTTCCTAAGCCTAGACCAAAGCCTAATCTAGGCCTAAGCCTAAGCCTAGGCCCGGCCTAAGCCCAAGCCTAAGCCTAAGCCTAGCCTGAGCCAAGCCAAAGCCTAAGCTGCGCCTGAACTAAGCATATACTAAGCCTAAACCTAAGCCTAACCTAAGCCTAAGCTAAGCCTACGCTAAGACCAAGCCTAAGCTCATCGACATTCCATTTCCCGACCAAAAACTTCCCCAAAAAATGCCTTTCTCGTGATGATACGTTCCAGTGCAATACTACGTGCGCAAATGTGATAGCCAGTCTTTTTCTTACCCACCAAATCGAATAATTTGCTTTAAAATTTTTTCTATTTAGTTATTATTTATTCCTGCCTTCCCGGTTCCTTTAGAAGCATTCATAGCATCGAAATT